AGAACTGAACAAGCTTATAAAAAAATAGATGAGACACTCAAGTTCAAAATGACACTCACTCGGGAATAGTTCAGCAAATTAAACAAATAAAATAAAATAAATCAAATGCTATACAGTATTATTAGCCTTTTTTATAATATCTGAATTTGCTTACGTCCAAAGCTAAGGCCAACCCTCAATTTATCGATTAATTTTTTTTATTGTAGTACTGTACTGATAAACTTGTACTGTACTGTATAAGCCTTTGTTGAAACACAACTTCCAGTTTTTAAGCATGCATTACATCTGTTTAATTCAACTTTTACAGTTCAGTTGTAGATGTCACAATATTATTACTGCACTTCAACAACTAAGAACTTTACGTGTGTAACAACATTAATAACTAAGCTAATCCATCAACAATTGAAAATTATGAGATAAAACTTTCTATTAAGTTCAGTCACTAACATCCAAAGCATTGTACCTTTGATCTTCAGTTGCACCCTTGACCTTTGACACACAAGCTTGGATTTGGAATTCTGCACTTCATCAAGTTGTTATACACACTCATGTAGTTTCATCATAATTATTGCAAGTTATGCTACACAAAAGAAAATGTTTACTGATACCCAGACACAGATAGACACCCCAAAGAGGACAGATGGATGGTCAAATCCTTAAACACTTAAAACAGGCATACAAGATTTTCAATATTATTAGAATTCATTGTAAAAAAACTATACATTTTATGCGCAACACCTATCAATTAAGAGAAAATAAAAGTTAATATTCTTAACCATATTTGATTATTTTAGCATCTCTTTCATATTAACACATTGGGATTAACAGAATTACTGGTCAAATTAAATAAGTATAAGTCATCTTACAATCTTATGAACATTACTCTATTATAAATTTCTAAATTCTTCCCTTCCTTTCTACATATTCTGATCCGAGATGTAAAAAACCAATTGGATATACTAAACATACTACAGGGTAAAGATAATCAAGTATTTTCTAGTTCCTACAGTATCAGTCAAGTGCAGTAAGTACATCACAATTAAAGAAAGGAAAACTTAAATCTGACACACTACTCCTTTGATCAATGGGAGAGTATACAAATACTAATGGTGTAGCTGCAGTTGCAAGATGTGCATCTTTGGTGGCTAAAGTTATGAGCCACCTTCAAAATCAAAACAGCTGTCAAGTTGGCAAGTGAAGCAGCAGATAATGTAATTTACTTATGAATACATGTACAGTAGTTACAGTGGCTGGATCTCATATTTTCACTCATTACAGCAGGATAAAATAAATTGTATATATACAGTATTTTAGATATGCCATTCTCACCACATCACCCTCTGTTAATGAAAAAACAAAACAAAAAAACATACAGGTATACTCACAGAATACAAAAAAAAAAAAAAAATACCAACTGAAAATTAATGGGAGATAGGACTGAAAGGGAAAAGATATCAAGAATGTTATCTCTGAGAAATCAAGATTCTCACAATACAATTTAACCAGCAAAATTCTATACAACCTCCAATTTGTAGTTTAAATGTTGTAAAAGGTGCTGTGAAACCACATTACAAATGCAAATTGTAGGGGTATAAAGTAGGATGAAATAGTCAATACTTCAAATTAAAGAATGAATTTTTATAGGTAAGTTGGATGGTCTCCATACAACAATGGCCAACATCATGGTGGGCAGGGAAGGAGGGAAGTGAGAGGTGGAGGCAGGCACGAAGGGGTGGTGACGGAGATGTTGGGCTGTAGTATTGTACAGTATCTTGTATTTACTATTTAGTTAATTATTGTGTAACTGTACACATTACCAAATGAATCAGAGTATGAGTTCTGTACCTTAAAGACCAAACAATCATAGATGTATTGGGCAGCTCCAAGAGTGAAGTAACCTAACCCAGATTATAATCTTACCCAGATGTATTTATACCCGATATCACCTTACCCAGGTAGTAACATTAGTTTAGAATTAATTCATAACATGTTAAGCTTAGTATGTTACTGTACCATGTGGCCCCAACTCAACTCCAGGCAAAATAACAATTGTCACTTGCAACTTCCACTTACGTAACTAAGGAGTAAGGTTTGCCGTTTTTTTTCAAAATTTGTGGGCATCATACATCCCCCTTTTCTTGAGGGACACAGATTGAATGTTTCAGTAGTTGAAAAGTGGCATAATTATTTGTTTGCATGGTGAGAACTCTTATGGAAGATACAGTACTGTACAGCTATTCTCAAAGCAGTTCTGCACACACACACACACACACTGGCCTTCTTTTGTCTTGTCAACAGAAGTGCTACATGTAAGGTATATTGTGTTTCCTTTTATGCAAAGCTGCTGTTTATATACTGAAGGAGTGATTTCATACAGAGAAATTTGATGTACTTAGGGCCAAGAACTTTGAGCATAACCTAACCTCCTCCTTCAGTAATACGGAATCATTTTTGCTTTTAGAGGCTGACATCATGGATTTCTCCCATCTGGTATCAAAGATAACTGTAAAATCTGACAAGGTGTTTCTTGTAAACACAGGAGGGTGGATAGGGGGGTTATATACAGGCTCACAGCTAAAGAAGCAAAATAATGGCTCTGCACACAAGCCCATCACAAAAATATGCAAAGTTCCTCTGCAAATAATTAATCAGAAGGACTGTAGCAATATACATCGTAACAGTACCAATAGCCAGTTGGAAATTATTCTTCCAGGTCTTTAGCAGCACTTGATGAATGTACCATCTTGTGTTGGCGAGTATCTATAATAATGTTTTAAGTTTTTTCATTTCATTTGTGCAAGTTTTTTGTGTACTGTAAGTATTTAACCTGATAATCCCCCCTAAAAATAAGTTTGGTTAATGGTGTTGTGTGCACGAGACATGAATACTGAATTGGCTTTCTAATAATCTATAAAATCCCCTATTGTAAATCATGGCATAAAATTCCATATACAGTACAGTACTGTACTTCAAATGCTGCATGCTGTGATAAGGAAGGATGGGTGATTAGTCTACCCATAATGGGTCAACAGGTCAGCCCCGAGTGAACTAATGGAGGAGTACTTAAGGTTATGGAACCTTCAAACAAGCACCTAAATTAAAAGAGCTGCCTGTCCAAAGAGCCTAAAAAATAATTTTTCCCTCATGAAATGACTGCAATTTAGCTGATCATGATGCATTAACTTGTACTCCAGCTGGTTCCCACTTTGTGGTCCAACATCAGAGATTGAATCTATATTAATGTACATTCTCTAATTTACATTAACACACTTTGTGCAGGTGGGGCACAGTACCCGCATTGGCAGTATCTTCCCACTTTTCTGTAATGCTTTTGATTGTTCCTACTCTGAGGTAGATGAACCCTCCCTCACGTTCTACATACAATTTAAGATTTGGCAGCTTTAATTATTTTTCACTCCAATTAACCAAATCTGGGCAGAGATCTCTACCAACAAATCCAGAGCTGAGACACCACCATCCCCATCTTGCGAGAGCATTTGATAACTCTATTTAATGGGTTTTTTTTTTTTTTTGAGAAACACTCGCATGACTTCTAGGTGAATTTTCAGTTTAGTTCCTTTTTACTTGCAACGAGTTGTGCATAAGGTACAGTACTAGACTTTATTTTTGGTAGCTGAAGATGTCTCTATAGTTTAGTGCCAGGTAGTAGTGAGTCCACCAAGTGGCATTTTTTATATGCTTTGTTTAGACATTCATTGCAAGCCAACTCTTTTTATGAGTCCTTGGGTTTTTAAAGTGATTTAGAAAAGTTAAATGGGTAAAATTCCAAATCTTTTTCCACAACCAACAGGATTTGGATATTCACAGTAATTGTGTGTTTGAAAAGTTAAATATGACTGTTTTCCAGAGGTGCAGACTGAGTTAATTTGTACTGTGATTTTTTTGCTTCCAAATATATTCGTTTTGTGGAAAATGGTGGTAACAGTAAAGTTTACGAATCAATCCCTCCTTCTTAAAGCAAACCAAGTTTATATAAAATTAATAATAAAAATTTACTTAATCACATGTTTTGATTCTTGAGATGCAAATTTATTTTTTAAAGATATTATATAATATCTCATATTTATGCCACACCAAAAAAAAGTCATATCAATAAACAAGGAAAAAAATCATGTGCATCAGATGATGTGGTTCAGCAGAATCAACACAGATAACATGAGTGTGACTAAAATATTATAACCCATATCATCAAGCCACTTTAGAATACTTCATTTTGATATTTGGCATAAATGGATTGATTATTTACTTTGAAAATAAATAATTGATGAACCAAATCTTTATCTATTCAGGTATGAAATTTCAATATAGGTATTATGCAAGTCATGTGTACAAAATGTCAGCTTCCTATCCTCTTCGTAAGTACCTGGTACTATACCAGGTATTTCTCATTATCAGTAGTTGAGCATCAATAAAATGTTCAGTTTTAAAAAATATGTTATAATTGCTAGGTAAATCCTGTAAAACTAAATTCTGCCACTTCACTTCCAAGCTATTTACGAATACTGTACATATAATATGATTTCTGTGAATTCTTTAAATAAGAGTAAATAAGAGTGACCATATTAGTCACTTGATTTTTTTTTTATATTTAGCCTCCTGCTTACCATACTGTACAATTCATTTTGTATTTACGAATAACTTCAGATGAAAAATCCTTATTCTTTTTTATAATATTAAGCCAAACAGGCTGACAGTGTGTGAAAAAATCCAAGTTTAATAAAAAAAATAAAAAATACATACAGTATTTCCATTAAGTTGAACAGCCCAATATTAAAACTGGATATAAAGTATATGGTACTGTACAGTCTCTCCTCGACTTACGACGGGGTTCCGGACCGACGACCAGGTCGTATGTCGAATTGGTCGTAAGTCGAAAGGGCGAAAATAATACAGAGAAAATCTAAAATGGGTGTCTATTTTTCTTCTCAGCACCACGAGAACTCTCACTTTTATGCTTGCCAGCCATTTTAAAGGGAATTACAATGAAAATTTTGTCAGTACAGGGTACACTAACGTCGGGACTTGAAAATACGTAATTTGAAAACTATTTTGTACGACTGCAACGGTCGTATGTCCGGGTGGTCGTAAGTCGAGTAGGTAGTAAGTCGATGAATGCCTGTATACGTAAATAATTCTTAAGGAAACATTTAAAAACAAAACTGAAAATCAATTACCAATTCTGTTAACTCTATGGTCACACTTGCTACTCACTACTGCACATTGTACGTCAATAAATGATAAAGACAGATTTTTGTAAGCTCAGTCATACCGGTATAAGTCAGCTTTGGAATTATGAATGATTCTTTGTCAAACAGTGTTAATCTACAGGTATATACACAACACACACTACATTAATTACTAATTCACCAAATTTGGCTTTGACATAAATTAACACTACAGAAAAAACAACTGTGTCAAGCAACAATATGATGAGTGATCGGGAACAGATGATAATATAAGCTCATCAGGATCAGTAATAGATCCTGCTGGTTATTCTTATTCAAACAGTTAAACAAACACCTCTAATGAGGTTCCTTATATGCCTACTTATCACTTTATTACTAGTTTTACCTTACATTTCAAATTTCACAAACTTCTTTTACAAAGTTCCTGCTTATTCCTATTTATCACTTTTGCTTAACCCATACACTGTCTCGTCTTGTATTTTCAAACCTATAAAATGGTGTTCTCTGTATTCCTACTACTGTCTTCCACTCTCCACCATTAGGTCATATCTACCTCCTCCAAGATCTAACTTCTTCCTCATCCTCTTCTACTTCCTCTTCTTCCTCTTCAAACAGAACTGGTTGTTCTCCCTCTTCTGTTTCCACTTCCTCCACTATTTCTTCAGTGATCTCCTCCTGATAAAAAAGAAAAGAAAAATAAACAATATAACTGTGGTTCAGGTTCCCTACCAGCTATCATGTTTGGCAACACTCCACTTTTGATGTTGGAGGAGAGATAAATGATTAATGTTATCCAAAATAACCTAGACTGTATGGCACTTTTTCAGTACAAATAAAATAATAAGGACTGGCTTTCTATATATTTACCCATTTACTTACTGTATACATGTGGAAACCCATCACATGCCCAACACCACTCACCAGTGTGTCGTCCGGGGAAAGTAATGGGGTGGTAGAGTGTGGGGCAACACTGGTGTAAGTGTGTGGTGCTACATGATGAGATCCTGCCACACTTGATGTGGGCTGTGAGGGCAAGGCTAGAGGGATATCAAAGGCCCAGGTAATGGTGAGGAGGCGGTCTCCAAGTGTCCGTCCCTCACTCATGGCCTTCTCTGCCTCCCGTCGGGTTGAATATTGAAGGGTAACTGCAGGAGTTTGTCCATCCCATATATAATTGTTTATCTTGCCTAAAGTCTGTTCAAGGAAAAAATTTCATACTATAAGTTCTGAAAAGTTTTAAATTCACATTTAATCATAGAAAACTGAGTTATCTATCTTTAAATGCTTACCAAACTACTTCATACAAACAACATCTTTTTGCTAAGTCACAAAAACAGGCATTTACATTTTAAATAAAATTATGAACTATACTTCACAAAAATAATTTAAGTTATATTAAATATACAATTCAACTTACACTAAAATGAGCCAAAACTTCTTCTTTGTCTTCTCTCTCAAATCCTGAGGCATTGATCTTGGTGGTACGCCTGTCTACGGATGAAAAGGAATGACCAAAGCCTCGGGCACCTCTGCCTCGGCCTCGGGACCCCCCACGTCCTAAGCTACTGGCCCCACGTCCACGGCCACATCCATAGTGACCACCCCTAGACATTTTATGAGATAAACTTAAAGATCAAATTTCTCAAAAAACATAAAAAAAATATATATAATTCATGTTAGTTCAATGAACAAATAATTGCAATTATCACTATGCTGTATATCATGATATATAAAGGACTGATCATGAAATCCAATATTAAGGCTAAGTTTGGAAATACTTGTAAGCAGCTCAAGTATCGCATATATGCTCACTCAGCTGTCAGTCTATGACCCAGAATTCCTTGACATTAGTTACCTAGACTTACCAAAATGATTAGTAAACCCCTGCAAAAAGAAAAACTAGAAAAGGGCTGTAAGGTCCCACTGAACACGAGATATGCACTCCTGAAAAGGTGTTCATTAGGTGACATTTTGTTCAATGGAGTTCATTTTCCTGTAGGGTCCTGTGTTAAAGGCTGAAATGTGATCCAGCCCCAAAAATATTGATCCATTTTCCTGCATGTATTATTACCTTAGTGAAAACAAGTGATTGTGGGTGTGGTGGAGAGCCAAAATGAACATATAAACATGCAAGCATTGCAAATAAAGTGAAAATAATAGTGTCTCCAACATGGATGTGGTATTCCAGGAAACATCTGGGGAAAAAAAAGTATGTTTACCCTAAATTAGTCCAATTTAGAGGTAATTAGCTGTAGTCAAGAACTTAAGGCTCTCATTATCAAACTCATCCATCATACAATGACCAAGAGAAACAAAAACATTGCGACACTTAACAGCTTGCAAATCTAATAGTTTCCTTGCTGTTGATAATACTAGAAGGCAGACAACCGTAACGGATGACAATCTCAACTCCTCTACCATAAATATTCCAAAAGAATCCAAGAATTTAAGAAATGGTTCCAGGAAACAAGTACAGGTAACCTGTAAGGATCTCTAAAGTCTCCTTAAAAGAATGATTAGGAAAGGTCTTTAAATAACAAAGATGAAAAATAATTCTCAAAAGGCTGTTGAAGCTTACCATCAAAATACATTAATAATAGGCTAATGCATTTCAACAATCCCAAATAAGAAATTATAACCACCATCAAGTTGTCACACTTTTCAGCTTGTAATGGGCCCCTGTCTCATCAACAGAACATATTGTATAAATGGGTCAATACATCTGATATTATATTCAGATTCACCACCCTGTAACTTTCCACTGTTTATGAGTAAGACATGAGTTGGACACGTGAGCGGGCAACTCTCCCAAGAGGGCGAGTCCCATAGTCAGCATTTCTGTAAGCCTGCACTGCGAGGCCCTTAAGCTTCAGTCGCTCACATCAACTTATATCGTAAGGACGTGACCTAACGTTTATAATACATAAACGCCGTCCCTTTCTCATTCACTCCTATACAGTGAGACTTACAGTCGATCTACACTTAGGAATTATATATACAACCCTTTTATAATAAAACAAGGAACTACCGTTTGGGTTTCGTTACTTAAACCCAAATAATAAATACAGTACAGTATATGTGAACGGCCTGGTTAATTGCACAAGCAGCCGATTCAAGCTGATATAATGTCTGAAATGAGTCATGCTGTATATTAGTCAAATTCTTTCAGGCCTTATTTACACTTTGGCGGGTTAATGGCCTCCAAAAAACTCCTGCTACCATTCTGATAACAAAAATATCGTTATCGACTTCAAAAACTCGCCAAAAATTTATTTATAATTTTCATGATGCAATTCTCAAAATGCGTGCCATTGTCTTCCCATTCTCACCACACAACTATGGTGATGTGAAGTGTAGGGATAACTGCCCTGTGGGCCTACAAGCATCAGTGTGTCACAAGGATTTACAGTGCACAGATGCTACCCGCTCCTTCATGATATTCACTTGTATTTTCATATGTTGGTGTTAGATTCAACTTCATTTGTATAATAGTATTGTAGAGCAATCATTTGTTAAGAAAAAACATTTAAAAATCACATACAATTGAAAATACTGTCAGAAACAAAAAAGAAATGCAAACATTTACGCCGCAATTGGCGTCAGCTAAGCACGTCTTGCCCATTTTGGGAGGTGGCAGCATGCGCCCCGTGGGGCCCAAAAGTGTTAAAAATAAGTTACAGTATTGATCTACTGTACTTTTTTGAGAAGACCTCCCTTGCCTGAACCCAAACTTAACCAGTTAACGACTCCCTCCCAACAGATCAGAAAATCAATAAATAAATTTGTGGTTTCAAACGACCTCAAGCCAAGCCAGCCCCCCTCCCCCCCCCAAAAAAAATTAAGACCTACAACACCACCATTCCCTTCAACAATCTTACCCACAAACATTGGGAAAAAGATGGACAAACTGTCTTAACATGATAAGAGCATTTGGTTCTATACTACTTCACGTGGTGGATGAAAAGTCCCACTTTATTTCAAGTTCTTCCTGAAAGATGAGGAACTTGAATCAAAACGTCAACAGAACTGCTTGAGGAAGTGCTTAACAGAACCATTACATGTACTGCACTGTGCTCAGCCCCTTTCCCTTTTTTTTTTGTATTTTGAAAGAACCCATACTCTCACCTTTACCTTACCCTCCTCGAGGAAACATATTCAGCTATAACTCTCCCCCATAGATTATATTTCTCTGAAATAACCGTAACCTTAAAGAAGGGGTAACTCTAATTTATCCTACCTCAAAAAATCAGCTTTTGATGAGGACTGGGCTGGCTAGGGTTTCCTAAGCCCAAACGCTGATGAAAAATGGATAAAAAAAATTTTGAGGAGAGATTTCCTGGGTGATAATTTTTTATCCAATTGCTCTGAATATGCTACCTCCTATTATACTCAATTCTATAATCTTATCCGTGAAAGCCAAGGCTTTAAGACAATAAATCTGCTCAGAGAAAGAAACCTTTACAATAGGAGATAAAAAACTCTGCCTCAATGAGGAGCATGACATAAGAAACCTAAGGTTCCTGGATACACTAGAATGTAAAAATCTTTCTTCCACAGAGCCATCTTCAATCTATCAAGAGGAAGGGAGACTAAATATACCAGTAAATATTCTGCTTCTCTGAAAATGTTATTTGCTGCTAACAAGATGATACTTTGACAGAGTGGGTGGTGCCAGCTCCCATTTGGCTTATTTGCAGTATCCAAATTGGAATGTTAAACATTTAATTTTTCAATATGAAATAAGCAATCTTTCACTTAACACTAACAATGAGCACTGTATGACCAGGCCAAAACACTTTAAATTATGCATAATTACCTGAGACAAAGCAGAAATTAAGATATGAGTGTGTTCAGTGTGAGGTTTGGCTGGGAATGGATTACTGTATAAGTCTGAGAGACCTGTATGACCAGCCCAGAGAACTGGCAACATGTGCAGTTGCTTGTAACATTCCTAACCAGACCTCCTCCCACTACTATCCAAGAGGGAAAAACTCTGATAACAAATTTCTGTAAAAGGGCTACTATTGCTGCTGGGGATGTTCCTGGGTCCTACACCAACAGCTTAGTCAATGCATATCCTTGAGCAGACTAGTAAAGGGCAACTGACTATACAAAGAACTATTGTACAGTACAGTATATGTTTTTAGAATCCATTTTGAGATATTTCAATGTAATGTTATCATTAATCAAATCTATGATGAATTTAGATTCTAACAACAATTAAAAGTAAATTTAATGCCCTCAGGTAATGTGGGGTAATTCTAAATTTTATGGAATTTACCTTCCAGAGCCATAAGGATTGTGTCTGACAGAACGTGAAGGGGGATACCCTGCTGCTTGCTGTTGTGCTCGTAGTTGGTTGAGTCGCATTCTCAGTTTAGTAATATCTCCACCTTCTGCTTGTACAGTGTACAGTTCTAGTTCTGTGTCCAGGATTTCTCGGTCCACCTGAACCTTACTTTTGGGTACCTCCCCAGCAACCAACTGTGACTTTGTGGTATCTATGGCTGCCTGAAGTGATTTAATAGTGTCTAATAAAACTTTTTTCTCTTCTCCCTTCATTGAAGCTTTGTTGGTCTCTAGTTTATTCACTAGTACCTGAAAAAAAAAATAATATGATACCAATAAAGATTCCACTGTCTTTGCAAGATTTTGTTTTAATTGTATGATAAATTATATTTTGAAGACACTGGTATCAATAAAGTAAATGTAAGTAAGAAAGAAGTGCAGGCCACAAAAGAGAAAGACTAAATCTATAAATAGTTCAAATCTATAATAATGAACTCCATTTGTCTTAACTATGCTGCCCTCCACAATTTTCAAAACAGAAGTCAAGTCACATCTACAGAGTACACTTATCACAAAGTAAGAAAAGGCAACTAAAAATAAAGGATTGATCATGAAATTTTATTCTCTATTAGCGCCTGTGTAGCCCAGCAGCTGCCATAATACATGCTGGAAAGCTTGAGACTTGAATGTACTGTACTTTCTGCTTCCCACTGGTGGCTTTCCATGCTGCATGTTTTATTGGTCTCTCTCATTAGGTTCTTAACTTTAATGTAATTTCTCACAACCTCTTCTCAAGTCATTCTTGCCCTCCTCTGGCTCTCCTCCCCTCCACATTTAGACTCATGCATCTCTTGATCCAAATCATCTCATCTATTCTCTCCACATGCCCAAACCATCTTGGCCTACCTCTACACAAAACTTTGCCAATATAATACTCTCAATACTCAGCCTCCCTGTGTCACATTATACATACACTTCACCATTCTCATTTCAGCTCACTCAAGCCAGCATATTTCATGCTCTTTTCAGCTGCCCATATTTCACAAACGTACAACATCACATTTATCATACAACTTTCCTTTCACATGAAGGGAAGGCCCTCTTGGTAACAATAAATGCAGCAACTCTCTAAACTCCCTACAGCCATTTCTGACACTTACAAATAAGCTTGCTTTGCATTGCCCCCAGCACTGATCATATCACCCAGGTAAGAAGAAAAATAATTTTAGCATGATAGTGCACAGTCTCATATAAATACTGTACACCAGCAACACAATGTTCTCTTTTTACCTTCAGTTGCTGCATCTGTTTTTCTATCAACTGTCTCTTTCGCTGCTCAACCTCAGATCTGAGCTTCAGTGCATCAGCCTTCTGTTTATCAACTTTGTGCTTGGCTGCCACCTGGAGAAAAAATTCCAATTAAAAATTATCAAATAATATTGCATTTTGTAGCTCATTGGCTGCCAAAGAATGACAGGAGTGACCTCCACTACATCACCTCATGTTGAAATCTCTTCCTAACACGGGACTTGGCCTGAACTAGTAGCAGGTTGCATTATTTGACAACCAGTGAGAATCTTGCAACAACTAAAGTTTTATGAACCAATGACAAAGCATTTTTTTTTAATTCTGTTCAGTTGTTACTTGAGGGCCAATGAGTCTTTTATTTCACAAGGCTGAAACCTTAAAACAGATTAAGTCCCTCATTCCAATCATCCAGCTAATAATTATGAGGTATTTGGTTCAATCTTTAATGACACATTTGGCTAATAGGTGTTATAAAAACATGTTGTGGAGAGTGTGTAATAAAAATAGGTCTTATATTTGTTCATCATTTTCGAGGAAATTACAATATAAAAAATCATATACAAACGAGGGTTTATTGTACTTCTGATTTGGGTCACAGGAGCAAATCCTATTCAATAACCTGAGTGACATAGAACTGGAAGTGTAAGCATCAAGTGCCCATACACCAAATCAACTCAACTCAACAAATTTGCCTTCCTTGTTATGTTATTGCTCAAGAATGTATGGACTCAGCCTATAACAGCTCAAGTGTTATAAAAGTGAGGCGATGCACTTAGGAGACTGGAGCAAGTAGAATGACCTATACACAGTTCAAATACTGGCTGGAATAACAACTGGTCTGATGGTGGGGGTATGGATCTGCTAGTGTGATGTCAAACTTATCATCTTCCTACTTTAATTACTGGCTGCTGCTTCTTATCTCCTTTTTCGAGGTGTTGGTTGCAACATGGGCCAATTACAGTACTAATCTCTGGAATAATATCGGCTACTAATGTTGAGAACTTACCTGGTTTCTGAACAAAAGACTAAGTGGGTTTACAAACAAAACATTTAGTGCAGTGTGTTTGGCCATAAAATGGCATACAGTACAGGACAAAACAGAAATAATTTTAATTTCTACACTTTATGAAATAAAAATTTAAATACCTCAGCAGCCATGAGTTCTCGCTGTTTTAGAATGGCATCAATTTCCTGCCTCTTTGTGTCAATAGCAGCAAGTGTAGAATCAGGAACAATTGCTGACAAGGAGGGTGGACCAGCTGTGGGTGAATTGGGTGTGACAGCTCCAGCTGCAGTTGGAATGGAATGGGATCCAGATACAAGAGAGGTAGGTGTGACACTTCCTGGTGTAGGTGGAGCATAAGTAGAAGCATTTATAGCAGTTGCAGCAGCGGAATGGAGAGCATGGGTATTGTAAACAGTCTTGACTAGGCTGCCACGTGACATCATCACCTATTGTAGGTTGGAGAAAATTGGGGTTAGGGTCCAGAATATCAAGGTGAGAACCTAGGACAACAGGTATGACTATGTCAGAGAATACAACTCTGGTATACACTGAGAATCAAATCTGCATTATACTGTTAATCTACCAAGCAAACATGAGGCCCTCATTCTGCTACAAGTTAACACCTCCATATACTCAATGTTGCCCTCTTCAAGGATTTGTTGACCAGTGTACCTTATTCTCAGTCTGAAAACTGTGATGTATTTGAGACACCATATTATATCCTGCTTATTATATCAAGAACAGCAAGATAAATTTATACAAATTATATTATTCCATTTAAATATTTCTCCATTTTCTTTTTTTATTTTAGTCTAAATGAAAAATCCAATCCATAATCTCTGATGAAAGAAAATACATTCCATAAAAGATCATAACCATCCAGATTGTCTCTGACTTTTTAACATACAGTACAGTAATATCTCATAATTGGACTTCTCTGAACTGAACCTTTCCAATAATTAAACTTTTCATTGGAGTTTAGTTTAACCCTCTACTCAGCCTGAAGGGTTAGGCATAACCTTCAAGTTTAGTTCACATTGATTTCGTTCCTTCTCAGATATCAGGTAAATTGTCAAATATCTACAGTATTTGCTACCACATGAACAGCTTTACAAGAATATTTTGTTTCTTGACACATAACTTTGATACATTACCAGTGCAATTTAGCCATGATTATCTGATAGCAGTTGCCCATGTTGTATGGTCTCTTGCAACCTCTATTACCAGATTCTTAACTCACTCACTCCCTCTTTTTCTTTTCCAATTAGTTCAACTCTTCCACTCTAACATATGTATCCTTAGCACATGCAGATTTACCTTCTCATTTTTATCCTCATTGACTGGTTCAACAATTGTCTTGTTGAGAGTTTTGTTTGGATGTCGTACACCTAACCTATCATGTACTGGCCTGACAGGGTGGGAAGCATAAGTAGGTCCTCGATCAACTTTGCTCTGAAAATGAGAGACGAAAGTGAATAAAAATAATATAATAATCTTAGTATTCTGCACTTACGAATACCACAATTTGCACTTTAATAATATAGCCACACACACAAACAGTTACCACATCTCAATTTTACATATCCCTAACAATCATATGGAACAGAAAAATATATATATATATCTTATATATATATATATATATATATATATATATATATATATATATATATATATATATATATATATATATATGATTGGCTGTTTCAAACCTGTCCGATTTTGTCCCGAGTAATGATGTATTTCTGAATGAGTTTATTCATAATGACCGTTTCTGACAAGAAAGATATTTAACTAAATTATATAAAGATACACACCTTCATTATTTCAAACAGGAGCACGTAGGAAGTTTATCAGAAGTATTATACATGAATTAACTGATAAACTCGGGTAGCAAATTCACGCTTTCGGAGGATGCATTTAATATATATTAAATTTACCCACAATAAGACATACTAAGACAAATTACATATCAGTAATATTACATTATGCAAAAATTAATATTTTAAAAGATCAGAATCACATTGAAATATTACACGACCATTAGCAGAGGCGGGAAAAATATGAAATAGTTCGCAGTCAAAACTCAAATTCCATTCACAAAGACTTTCTCATTGAATAGAAACATTATTCCATACATGCATAAGGAGAGATGGACAGGGGTAATATATACTACATGCCCCCTCCTTCTTCACCATTCAACTGTATTTTGTCTCAATGTAACCCTCTGGTCACTCCAGGAGATCATCTAAAGTTAATGATTGTTCCAGATCCATCTCATCCAAGATCTTACCTACAGTACTTCTGTGAAATTTCATCAGAATTTAATTTAATTTATAAGACTTAGCTTCTCTACAATATACAGTACATCAATATGAATGATAATTGCTGCAAAAGGAAACACAATACCAGTACATGAATAAACTCACAAAGAGATGGATGAGCATGACTCTTCAACCTTTATTACTGCTTGTGCAGTAATAAAGGTTGAAGAGTACAGCATTAAGAAAGAAAATAATATAAGAGAAAACATTGAACAATGAGACGTTAAAAATAAATTATAGCGTTTCAGTAGTAGTAGAATTAAAATTTTAATTATTATAGTTGCAGTATCTCTATCATTTACCTGTGGATTGTGCCAAAATAGTTTTATAAATCGATTGTTGAGAACAGCCTCAGTACTACGATAGGCAGCATTAGCTTCTGAGTGGCTGTTGAAGGTCACTAGGGCATTTTCCGGATTACCATCATGGTGAACCTGGTGTGGTAAGATATAAATGAGATAAATAAAAGTGCAGTGTACTATAGACAACAATGAAAACAAGATTTATTTGGTATCTGGTAACCTTTTTAAACACAAAATCAAACAAACATAATACAATTCTGGTGTACAAGCCACCAGCAAGGTTTGTCAAGATATACTTAAGAGAACTGGCATTACTTTGCAAAATCCAGTGTGGTGGAGGGAGCAAGGTAAAAACACGATGGCCATACCAGTAAAAAAAATATATAACAATAATATTTTTCCCCTCTCAGTGAATTTTAATCTATCACCAAGACTCTATTTCCAGCTATATGTTAAGTAAAATTTGCTTACTCAAAGCAATTCATCCCCTTCAAAGGCATGACTAATTTTTTTCATTTTCCCTTTATACTTTACAATGGAACTATACACACTGTCTTACCATTACAGTGGTGCCCTTCCTTCTGTCATATGTACAGTACTGTACAGTACTTTAATTTTTCCATCACCCATCCTTAACAAAGGTTTCATTAAATATTACGACTTAAGTCAAATATCAAAATTAATGAAAACTTATTACTTATCCACTTGTCTTTGACAATTATCAGTCTATACTGTAATAAGTATGTCACATTCCCTACTCAAGGTAAGGCAGGACTCATTGAATAGTATATTCTATCTGAAATCTTATTACCAAAAAACAACATCGATTAAAATAAGTAAAAATTTCAATACAGTATATAACTTTAGTACATACCTGTATATTAACTACAGTCCCAAACTTTGCAAAATGGTCATTCAGGTGTGCAATAGTATTGAGACCTGAAGGAATCTTTCTGAGTTCGAGGGTGCAGCTATCAAGGTCTGGCCGTCCAGGCTTGGAGATTAAAGACAAATTGTGAGAAGTGGGTACAACCGGACCCAGACGCTTTGCTAAAGAAGGACGAACACCACCACCAGCCTGTTGGATAAAAAAATATCCTATAGTACTTTTGTTATTGCAATTTACACATACAGATACTGCACTTTTGAAGCCTTGCAAGCCATTGCCAAGCTTCCTGAGGGCTGAGCTTGTCTTGTCAGAGCAAAGGTCTGCAATGCTTGACAACAAAATATTATCCAATTGGACAATATTTTCTGCAATGTAGCCTCCACATCTTGACAAATCCAGATTCATATCTATATCCAATGGTCATCTCAGACACCAGTGAACATTTCGGGTCAGGAGTCTTTGACTCACAAGCTCCTAATTCCCACTCAACTAAAATACAAGATATCTTAACCTAAACTTCAGTTCTCTATTTAGTGGTATACTGTCAAAGCAATTCTAACACAAGCCCTATGGACAGTTTTTATAAGGACAAGTATTTTTCTTACCATTTTCTGATCTTTGATATTAGTCATCACACAATCCTGGCTTTTACCACACCATAATTGGTTCATTTATTAAGTAATTCTTTAAGACATAAACCCATCCCACTTAGGTGTTCATTTATATTAGTTGACTAACACTTAATTAGCCCAGGAAGAACCCTGTTACTGAATGCCAATACAGTACAAGTACAGTACTGGCCATTTTCATTAATCCTTATTTAATAAAAATAATTTGTTAGAAATATAAATTAGATATGATTTATCCATAACAAACACAGCTTACATTTAACACAGTACTAACTTGAAGTCTTCATTCCCAATTAAGCATTCCAATTAATTCATATACTCACCCCCATGTGGCCTCCATTGTTAACAGGAACGCTAATTAGTTCCCGAGATGTACTAGTGGGCAGGGGTGGTGGTGGAGCCGAGAACCTGGGCCCCACACTACCACCTCCTCTACCCTGCCCACCATTACCACCATAATAGGGCCCAGTGTTTGGGCTGCCTTGGCCAACCCACAGACTTGGGTCACGTGGGGTGTATTCACCTGTGGATACTAAAAATAATTGAAAGTTATAACAAGGGGTGAGCAAGAAATAGTGAAATAATTCTAAAATCACATTTTATAACAGAAGTGAGATAAAAAAACTCTAAGCTCTGACTTTTGTAGCTGAAATCAAAATACAGTTTTGAGTAAATTTGATAATCAGATTATCCTTTATCTTCATACAGAACATAATATGTCTTAGGAATTACCCCTTTTTATCCAGTGGATGTTTCTGACTACATATTATGTAGTTGGAAACATCCGCTGGATAAAAAGAAGTAAATCAAGACTCCCTTTAAGCTACACATCGCCTGTTCGATGGTGGCTGCCCTAAAACAACATCGGTGTTTGGAGTAAACTGTTCATGATGTATGTAAATGTAGCAAGATGCATATGAAACACATATGCTTTAAAATAATTAAAGAATGTTGCAGACAAGAAAAAGATAAAAGCCTTACCATACTGAGGATGTCTTGGAGGAGGATGGCGAGGTGCAGGGACACCCTGGGGTGGTGCTGGTGCTGGGGTGTAGCCAGGTGCAGTGGGTGGGCCACCAGGTACAGGAGGGGGAGGGAAGTCCAACACTCCACTAATACCTTCAAGCACTACTGGGTCAGAGCCATGGTCAAAGGAGCACATGTCTCCACGCATACAATAGCCCTTTTCTGCAATAAAAAGTAATTTGGCTGGCTGCAAATACCGGAACTCCCTGATTTACAAAAGGGTTATAGAACAGAACCTTCTGTAAACTGATTTTTCGTAAATCGAAGCACATTTCCACCCTTGACTCCCATTATAAAAGCCATAATTCACTCCTTAAAAAATAAACCTTTGTCAAATGCCACAAAATGATACATAATTGTTCAGAATGAATCATTGTTTTTAATAAAAAATGATTACAAGCCAATATTAAATGCTTTATCCAAACCTTTACTGTACATAATTAACATATGAAAATTAAGATTACATGAGTAAATGAGAACATCTTTTCACTGATTTTGAAAAAAAAAATATGAAAATGGGCCCATTTGTTCATAACTTTGAATTAAAAAAAACTGAGCCTTCATAAATTGGGAACTACCAGAGTTGTACTGTATAAAGAATTCAGACCAGTATCTTTAATTCAGTAGTTTAATCCCTTGTGTATTGGGTCTCTTGGTGCCAAGTAAAATCATCTGGCGTGAGTTGAATAAAATATTAAGTGGAATCCGAGTAGTGAAGTGGTTACTTCTTTAATTCGCAAGTACAGAAGATTTCCCTCATTCTGAGCGGTCAATCCCACATACTGTAAACATCATGAACTGTAAATCAACTGTACAGTCACACAACTTCCTCCATTGTTGTCTTAATAAAAACCTAGTTATTTAAATTCTGAGTGAGATCTTAACTAATCTTTCTTTATTCATAAAAATAACCTTCATATGAAGAATATTTACAATTATTTTTGTGTCTACAAGCTACATCTTTATACATACTGAAGATGATCAAGACATTGTAAGACACTCCTATATGTAAATAACATCCAAATGACTCATGAATACTTAGTGTGAAGATACTCTGGGCTCACTTTCCACCAGAGGACAAACATTAAACTGGATGAATCCCATAACCAATTTAAGAAAAAAGTACTTCTTGAAGTTCTTGCATAAATGATCATGCCAATAACCAACCTAAAATTTAGTAGATGTCGCCACCACTCCCACCCAGAAGAACACTGCACTTGCTTAATTTTAGTTTGTAGAAAAAACCGAACAGAAATAAATATTCACATAACTCCAACAACCAGAAGAACCAAGATGGTAAATCCTAATTGTTGCATAACCTGTTCATATCTGCTCCCTGCTGCTGTCTTATAAGTGACAAGGCAGGCTCTGTCATGAGAGATATATACGTTGGAAGTATGAGTCACTCATAGAGGCCTGTGATCATAAAGTACTGTATAATCTAATTAAACCAATACCTACATTGGTGATAAACAAATGTACACCATTAAGTGTTACATTTACAAATCAACTAAAATTATGGCCAAAACTATTTAGTGACAATATTATATACACCATTATTAAATACCAGCAATTATTTCTAAACTTAAAAATTCTTATACATTCCAATCTGACACTTCAATGAATTAGTCACTGGAAATTTTTTTCTCACATACTGTACTGTAATTAACAAGCATTACATACCATCATAGTCCCGACATCTCTGTTTCTTCCCAGTTGGTGGCAGGGAAAATTCAGGATGTTTGACAGCAACCACACTTTGGATGATAGAACTTGGTTCACTCCTTGGCTCCAGTTTTGCATCAGCTACAGGTGATGCTCCATGGGGGGACTCATGCTTTTCATCTGAAAATTATGAATTAATTCATACGTAAGGATAACACCAATCTACGTCTACAAAATGTATTCAAAGAAGAGTTTGACCCATAAAAATAAAGGACTTGAACAAGGAAAGAGTCGAGTGACTTAAGATGTTCCCTCCCATATTATTTCTTGGTAGAACCTGCTTGTCCCAATTTCAAGAATAACTTGTCACACACAAAAAAATAAATAAATAAATGAATAATATTAAAAGCATGAATATTTACCCCTTGGAATTGATTTTGACTTTCTGGATGGACTGGGTGATCTTGGAAGTGGAGGAGGTGATCTTCCTCGGGCAGGTCTGCTGTTTCTTGGGCTGAGGGAACGAGATCTGTTTCTAGATCTAGACTTTCTCTCACGAGACCTAGATCGACGAGGACTTCTTGAGCGCCTCGGACTACGACTACGTGACCTCGTGCGAGAACGTCGATACCTGAAAGAATAATATACCCGTTTGTTGATATATATATATATATATATATATATATATATATATATATATATATATATATATATATATATATATATATATATATATATATATATATATATATATATATATATATATATATATATTCCTTCAGTTAGTAATTTAGTCATCATCTTTTAGCAAGTAAAAAGCGAGATTACCTTTTTGTTAGAGGAGATCTTCTTCTCCTATCATCATATTTGCTACGACCACTTCGGCCTCTTGACCGCGACCTTCGAGACCTTTCTCTACTTCTTGAACCTGACCGAGATCTTGATCGTGACCTTCCCCGAGACGGTGATATTCTTCTACCTCGTCTGTCATCTCGATCTCGGTCCTTTTCGGGGTTAAAAGGTATTGTATAATTAGTATTCTCTATACCATTTCAATAAAACATAAAAGAAATAAACTTCACAAAGTTCTTAAAATGTTGGTTGGTGAATGCATTTCCTGGCTATAAATGGTTAACTGAAACATGATGTCACTTTTTGCAGCATACAGGTTCTCTTCAAGGACTTTAGAGATCTATTCACACTAAGCACCCCCTGGTAAAGCTTATCATTGCCAGGGAGCTTGGTTGCTTAGAGGGAGGATATATACAGTAATGAAGAGTAGCTATTCACATACCCAAATACAGGTATGGCATGGGTCTTTCTGATGAACAGAGAAAAATTATCAATGAGGAAGTTACACACCACAAGTGTTTAATGTAGAAAAAAGATGGCTGTGTTTCAAGCATATGCCTCCCAGGACATTTTTGTATGGATGAAGTCTTGTCCAAAAAGAGAACTGGAATATGACATGATCAAAAATTCTGTAAAGCTATGTTGCAAGATGTTACATGAACCTTATGACACAATCCAAAAATAGACTTCAATGATTGAAATCTCTATGAATCCACCATAGGTAAATAACCCAGGAAAAATGGATTGGAGTTATGCTGATAATGGAAATGAACACTGCTGGGTTAAAGGGTACCTGAGACTCAGTGAGAAATGGGACGATTCCCTATTATTTCTACTACACTGACCAGTTGCAGTTAACCTGCTGTCACAAGTGAGCATAAAGAGTATGGCATAAACCCCAATGAGAAATATAACATGTAGACCTAATTCTTCTTAGGGCAGGAGTAGAGGTTCATACTCCCAGAATAGAACTTTCCCGACACCCCATTTCAGAAAACCCCCAAGGAGACCTAAACAGAATTTCAGTATCTTCAGGACAAACCAAACAGCTGGAGAAACAAAGCTGAAATACAGTACACAACTTCGAAATTGATGATGATGGTTCTGTTCACCTTGTACAATAATACAGCAGGAAATGGCATACAAGAGTGAAATGAAAAATATGAGTGTTATACACAAGCTTCTCTGGTGTGATATTGTTAAAAATATATGACAGTTCTTTCCAGTCTAATGTGACTTTCCTTGAAAAAATTTTTTTCCTGCATTCTCTCATAAATATATAGTAATGCATAAACTGGATAACTCAAATTATACAACATTAGGGTGGTCCACCCAGGGAAACAATCCCACATGCAAAAAATTAGGCTCATTAGGCAATTTTTTTTTACTTCTTTGACTATGTTTAAGTTTTTCTGTGATGAAAGACAAAAAGTTGACTCCCAAGATCTCTAAATGTTCAACTTTATAAAACAAACTCGTACATTAACAAGAACAGGGACAGCTTTGTTGAGAAGACAAAACCCAATCTTTAATTTTCTGAGACCACCCTAGTATTTATGCTATTTCAGTACTTGAAAAGTAAATAAGCTGCAAATACTCACAGAATCTGACTTTCTTAAGCGCTGAGACAATGACACTTCTTCTTTGCGAGTGACAACGGATGCTGGAGGTGGAGGTGGGGCAGATTCTGGGGGTGGAGGAGGAGGAGGAGGAGGAGCAACAACAGCAGAGCTTGGTGGAGGAGGAGGTGGAGCAGGTTGTACAGTAGTTGAGGATGAAGCAGGAGGTGGTACAGCATTAGGGGGAGTTGTGGAATCAGGAGAGTGACCAGAAGATTGCTTAATGGCAGGAGTTGGGGGTAATGGTGGAGGTCCACCTTCAGTAGTGCTGTTGAAACTAGTAGATGAAGTATCAAGGGTGAAGGTGTTGGAGGTGGAGGAGGAGGAGGATGGAGCAGATCTTTTTGGTAAGTAAGATCGTGCTGTTGTTACCTGAAGAAACTTGTCTACGAAGGATTTTGTGTCTGAAAGAAATTCATACATTTTACATTACTATTTAAAGAGAAATGACATGTACTGTACACTGTATTTAGGGGCAGTTTGTACAACAGAAAACTTACCAAATTTAACTAAACAAAGATAATATAATTAATGCAGTACAGTACATAAATACACTGTACTGTACTATAACTGGCAGAGGTACTGAAAAAGACGATGGAAAGCAGTAAGATGAAACATTACAAATAAGAAACCGTAAGAAGTGGAAGGAGAAGCAACTGCATGAAATGGAAGGAGAAGAAACAGTATGAAGTGGAAGGAGACGAAATGGTATGATGTGGAAGGAGAAGAAACAGTATGAAGGAGAAGAAACAGTATGAAGTAGAAGGAGAAGAAACAGTATGAAGTAGGAAGGAGACGAAATGGTATGAAGTGGAAGGAGAAGAAACAGTATGAAGTGGAAGGAGAAGAAACAGTATGAAGTAGAAGGAGAAGAAACAGTATGAAGTGGAAGGAGAAGAATCAGTATGAAGTGGAAGGAGAAGCAACTGCATGAAGTGGAAGGAGAAGAAACAGTATGAAGTGGAAGGAGACGAAATGGTATGAAGTGGAAGGAGAAGAAACAGTATGAAGTGGAAGGAGACGAAATGGTATGAAGTGGAAGGAGAAGAAACAGTATGAAGTAGAAGGAGAAGAAACAGTATGAAGTGGAAGGAGAAGAAACAGTAAAAAGAACAATAATAAGAAACAGTAAGATGAAGATGATGTAAAGCAGTCTAATCTTAGGTAGCACTGGCAAGGAATCCGCTGCTTACTTGAGAAATTTAAAAACTTTATTTTATATTCCCTGCTAAGTTAGGGGTGCATCTAATATGATGGTTATTTTATATATATAGTATATATATATATTTTTTATGGGGATTAGCCCACCCAGGCACAGGTCAATAACCCACATCAGAGCCTGGAGGGCAAAAATATAATAATAATAATAATAATAATAATAATAATAATAATAATAATAATAATAATAATAATAATAATAATAATAATAATAATAATAATAATTAATAATAGTAATACAGTAATAATAATAATGAAAATAATACAATAATAATAATAATAATAATAATAAAATAATAATAATAATAATAAAATAATATTAATATTAATAATAAGGATAAGAATAAGAAAAAAAATTAATAAATAAAATAATAGTAATAATAATAAAAATAATAACAATAAATAATACAAAAATACAAAATAAATCAAGTGAGAAACGACATACAGGTTGACAACCCTTTATCCGAAATTCCAAAAACCGAAAAGCTCTGAAAACCGTAAGTTTTTTTTGTGGAGCAATTTTTTTTTTTTTTAAACAGGGATTAGCCCACCCGGGCATAGATCACTGACCCACATCAGTACTATATGTATCTTGGTTTTTCTTTTGCCATAGCTGTTAGTTTTTCATAATAAATGTTTAAAGGTGGAAAGCTCACTAGTATTCACCCTGTACACTGTTATCTAGGTCTGGAGATAACTTTTACACATGAGATACTATCAGCCCCACTACGTGACAGAACAATGCAACTTGTTAGAAACAACGATCAAAATATACACTTAATTTGTGAGGTAAACAACCAAATCATTTAGAACTAAGAGATCCAGATATGGTTAAGTGAGCATCTGTTCATCAGCTGCTCTTTCTTGAGCATTGGTAGGATGGTTGTGTCCCAATGATTCAGTGAACTGTGCAAATCATAAACTAACTGTTATGTTTGAACATTCACAATTGCAGTACATTATAGACTAATTTCTTTGACAGAGCTAATAGCTACCTTATTTTAATTCAACATAGTAGTACATCTAGCCACTGAAATGAGTTATACAATACTGTACTTACTTGATTGGAGGAATACATCCAGTTGCTCAATCATACTAGCCTTCAGTTCAGACACTGGACGGTCTTTACGAACCAAAGCAAGACAATACTTGGCCAGTGCTTCAGGGTCAGCATCACACCTAAGGAGAGAGATAGAGTTTAAGGTAAACAATGTCACTGCATTATCATGAAATAATTGATGGAGTGTTAAAAGCCCAAAATGCCCTAATAGCTACAATGAAAGACTCATGGGTCACAGGTCTTTGCAAAACAGCTGTTTCATGGAGGGCATTTACATTTTCAACTGCAGTATGAGTAGATGCCATCCACCTAGAGTGCCATTCAGCAGTAAGCTTTATTAGCCGAGTGTAAAAGTGCCAAGAAGCTGTCACTTTGTCTCTAATCTCAGCATGAAAGTATTAATTTAAAAACCATTAGCTATTTCAAAGACTGGGTACTAATCAAGGCACATCTACATTTGTCAGACAACATAAAAGTCAGCTTGAAAATGTGTTGTTATATTAATTACTCTAAACAGACCATCAGTTCTTCAAAACAACTGCTGTGCCATATTCCACCCATAACTCATAAAATGCTGACAGCTCACAGGAAGGGGAAAATATTTAAAATTTTAACAAAGTGCAGACTTTAAGCACATTTTATTATTATTATTTTATTTATTTATTTTTATTTTATTTTATTTTTTTATGGGGAACAGCGGGCACAGGTCATCGACCCACAACGGGGCCTAGGGGAAAAAAGTAAGAGTAAAATTTAATTTTAAATAGAAGAAGGCAGATCATTCCACAGTTTGGCTGTGTGAGGAAAGAAGGATGTACTATAATGGGTTATTCTCGTGTGACCGACAGCCACAGAGAAACTAAGGGCACCGCGGGCAACACAAGTGTTACGAGCCCACGGCCTTGCCGGCCGTACACAGGATGCCAAATCCACCGAACATTGCCCGTTAAAGTACCTGTAAAAGAGAGAGCGAAGCAGCATTGCGGTAAAGAGAAAGGGAAGAAAGATTATCAACTAAAGGAGGATAGTCAATAAGACGAAATGCCTTTGATTTCACCCTACCTAACAGTTGAACAGAAGAAGAGCCACTCTAGATATGAAAGCAGTACTGTACTCTAAGTTAGGACGAATGAATCCCTTATAAACTTGAAGCAACTGCTCAGGAGTGAAGTAGCTACGGGATCTGTATAGCATTCCCAGCTTTCGGGAGGCAGCTTTAGAAATGTTGTGAATGTGTGGCTTCCCTGACATATTAGAGGAAATGGTGAGACCTAGCATATCTATTTTCGAACTTGGCAGAATGATTGCATCCTGAAATGTGATTGGTGGGAGATTATCTAATTTGGAAAGTGTAATTGGTAAATACTTGAGTTTTATTACTATTGAATTTAACCAGTTTTTTTTGACTTTATGACACCAAATAATAATCGAGAAGTGATTCACAGCCCGAATTACGCATGTACGACCATCATTTGACTTCATTGCGGCTACATTTGGCTACATTTGGGTAATTCCTCACTCCCTCGGTACATGCAGGCGATCTATTAACTCAGATTAAAGTAAGTTTTCCAATTTTTTGTGACTTTCTGACACCAGATACTAGTCGAGAAGTGATTAGCAGTCCGATTTATTCATGTAGGACCATTATTTGACTTCATTGCGGCTATATTTGGGTACATTTGGGTAATTAGTCGGACCGCCCCATTGAGAGAGTTAGGTAAGGTTAGGTAGATTTGTTTGGTTAGGTTGGTTAGGTCTATATTTGGGTACATTTGGGTAATTAGTCGGACCGCCCCATTGAGAGAGTTAGGTAAGGTTAGGTAGATTTGTTTGGTTAGGTTGGTTAGGTCTGTTCTTCATACCCACAAAAGTAAAGTAACGTTACTTTTAAAATATAAATTTTTTAACACATTTGTACAAACTACAAGTGTCCACTATAAAATAAGTGAAAATCCGGCGTTTTTATAATCGTTTTCAATCAATTTTGGCTGCGGGTTAGTCTTACATAATTACCCCGAAATGATAATTTTACCCGTAATTACATATGCTGGAGGGGGGCATGGAACCCCCAGTAAATTCCTAAGATATCCTGGTTAACAAAGTAAAACTTTCCCCAAAAGTGTGTATTCACTTAAGCGTCTTTTCTGCGTACAGTACCGTATACATTTTGGAAAGCTTAAGAAATAAGCTTCTCATGGCTTTATCAGCTGTCATTGGTCAAATTTATTCAATATAAATTATTATCACTATTGTGTAGTTCAGCTGCAAATGTTTACCATAAATGACACAATACATACAAACCCTCTTTCCTCTACCATATATAAACAATAAAACACATTATACATATTGACTTCATACTTACAGTGGGGCTAAATAGCCAGTCAACCACTGCTTCAGTAAATCAGGACTCTCTATGATCATCGTTGACAGAGGTGATGATGATGCTCCACACCTAGGCCATCCACGCCATACTCAACTCATATACTATTAGATTCTTAACTATTCCCGGCAATGATTTCACATAAAATATCTTAGACAAAAGTAACAGAATTAATGCAGGAGTTGAGAGAAGGTTTATCTGTAGTGTATTGATGGAGGCGCCCGGGTCACTCTCTCACTCCTCACTTATGTCATGAACCTTTAACTTGGATCTCCCTTCTTAGTTTATAACATATTAGTCTTATATTCAAGTGTCACTTCAATAAAACTTTAATTAAACTTTCACGGGGGAAAGTAGCTGACGACAACAGATGACTGGTCACGTGACTTAAACAACTGACGAGATAGATGCGCGGGTGAACTTAAACATTAATATTATAATTTAAATATAGTATTTTATGTAAGTTGGTTAATGTTAAGTCGTAACAGTAAAACTTTTATATTTTTCAGCATATTGAAAGGTGTGAGTACCATTTTAAGACTTTTTATTCACAATATTAGTGGGGAATACAAACATTAATGTTAGTTCTGGTTGTGTTTCATATATATTTTACATATGTATTAAGAATCACATATAAACAATATAACTTGACCATTGAAACACTAGTAAACTTTTCATGCAAATGGGACATGGGTGGACGATATTAATTTCACTGTAAACGATATACAGGGGTAGTTACGGATGTGAAGGGCACTATTATTAATATTTGTATTATAAATTCTTAAAAATATAAAATAAAAACAAAACTTCGCTTAAAAAACTAAAGGAATTTTATATAACTCTACTCTGGTGAATCCGGTTCTCCCTCGTGGCTGCCAACGTAATCGTGTATGATTGTAAACGTTCAGTTCATACAAAAAAATGACGAGCAATACTTGAGGAGGTTCTTTTTATTTCATCTTACTACCCATCCAGATGGTTGGTCTGTCCTGCGCTGTTTAGTTTAGGAGCCAAAATAACTTCTCGTCCTCAAAGGATTACGAGTTTTCCTCTATAGTTAGACGCGGTGGGAAGATCCTTTCAGTTTAGGAGCCAAAATAACTTCTCGTCCTCAAAGGATTACGAGTTTTCCTCTATAGTTAGACGCGGTGGGAAGATCCTTTCACCCATACATAATTTAGCAAGACTACTATCCATTTTTATTCCTTTTTGATCAGTTTTATTACTTTCTCTTAAAATTTGTTGTGGTTGCTTGGTTCTTTTATCTTCTACTCTTACTCCCAGTTACAGAGGGACAAGTCTTCCCTCCAATATCATCGAGTTTTTATTTTCTCTAGAAATATTTGGGCTGATCCTTCACTTGATTGAGGTGAGGAACCTCTACGTCACATAGCTCATTAAGTATTCCTTTCTCCTACAATAAACCTTTCTAATGAGAAAATGGCATAGTAGTTTCCAATCACCTAACCAATTCGTATCCATTATTTTTTTTTAATTTACCACTTGACACCTACAGTTTTGTTCTCTACCAAAACAAAAGCACAAGACCTTAAGAAATATCCTTAAGAAATAACAACTTACAAATCTGAACCAATCAAGCAAGTACAGTAATGTTTAAAATTCTGATGACGACCATAATTACAGGGAAGATGAAATTTATGACACACAAATGAAGCTACTGAAGCTGTCACATCGACATCTCTCAGACACAGATGTATTTGCACTTCAGAACTGGTCATTGATTCTGTTTGCACATGTATGGACTAGTTAACAAGTTCATGCTGCACCTTGAATGACAAGTGAATTTTTTCAATGGTAATGAAGGCTACTTTAAATCTAAAGAAGTTTAACTTGAGAGCATTCTTTACTGTTTTAATGAAAACTGTTTAACGTACATGTAAATAATTTTTATATGATCATTTTGGCTGTACAGGTAGTCATAAAATTATAATTACATTGGAGGTTCTGATGTGCTCATATGGGTATATGATCTTTGATGTTGAGAGGACCTTTGTTTAAAAGATATCCTCTGTAGCTACAAAAGTAGATACACTGTACAGTATATTCAATCTGTTTGATGTAATGGAGAGGTTTAGTACATAAAAATACTAGACGTGTTCATCCACATAAACAAAACATTTATGTAGTCTATTCACTTTGCATAATTCTTAAGACATAATTTAATCCATGCAAATAATGAATAATTTTAATTATCATTCACTCCTTGTCTAACTTAAAACCATTCATTTCTACTCATGACACAACTCGCAGGAGATATGTAGGTGCTCTTGATTGCTTGCAGTTTTTCCAGAAGAACATTCCATAATCTATCCTCAGGGATTCTGTCAAAGACTTTCTCTTCCTGTCCACCAGGATGTTGTTTCTTCTGCTGAATTCCTGTCATATTAATGAAAATGAATTCTTCTTAAACATGGTTAAAGATGGCCCGAAAAGAAGCACTTTCATCCAATATCATTACAGTACTGTCTTCATAAATTCACAGTATTCATCAATTTAGTCCCAGGCACCCCTCCACATTATTGGCTTCCTTCATCTCTAGATGTTATATTCACCTTTGCCACGAGGAATCTACTGTCACTTTGTACTCAAATGTACTACAGTACACTAAAGAACTAAAATGTTTATCTCTTGTACAAACTATGTGTGTTTATACTCAAATTATTCACTAATTTTGCAAGGATTCCAGCAATGCAAGTTATATTCTGCTAAGTTTAGTCTGTGAAATTTTATAAGATAAAATACTTTAAGCCTAAAACTACCTTCACCCTGTTTTGGGAATGCTTCTTAGGCAGGCCTCATAGCCCAGAACCCCCCAAAATTTTTGTCCGAATCTTCCAAAATCCGGATTTACAGGGTTCAAATCTTCGAGGGTTCACTGTATAGTATTAATACAGAGATTGTTATATATAATCTGTTTCTTTACAAAAACATTACATCATTAATTTTTGTGCAACTTTATGTACATCGACTTGCTCTGATGGCTCATCATAAAACATATGAGATGACATACGTGATAAGAAAATAATTTGAATTTATACAGTATGTACTGTGTTAACAGTATACTCGTGAATGATTAATATGTGCAAGGATCAGGAATGACTGTGTACACTACAGTATATTATGTACAGTATACTGTACAGCTATGCATGTTTTTTTTTTTTACGGGGAGTAGCCCACCTTTGCACAGCTCACTGACCCACATCGGGGCCTGGGGGGGCGAAAATGTTGTTGTTGTTGTTGTAGTAGTAATAATAATAATAATAATAATAATAATAATAATAATAATAATAATAAAGAAATACAAAAAATGAAAAAAAATCAAGAGTGAGAAACAATATATGTAAAGTATGTGTTGTTAATGGCAAGAGAAACAATTGAGACCCTACAATTGTGTAAATGATGCACAAAGACAGATCAGCAACCTGGGACTTGGTCATAATTTTCGTGATGCCATATGGCAGCAGGGTCTATACATGTTTACCCTCTCATGGCTGTTGGTAAACTGACAACTTGCCTCTACCACCACCCAGCAACATCAAGCATCTACACCAATTTTTACTACTCTGATAACAATAAAGCAATAAACATATAATAAATATAAGACACTATAAAATAATTGTGGAAGTTCTGGTAATAAGTGATTTATTGAGCTAAGTGTGTGTCCTTCCTTTCAAAGCAGTGTCAACCATTGTGATAGCATTGTAAAAATTTATGAAATGTTGCAATAAATGAAGAATTTGGTTATAAAAATTTAATTGTGATAAATTTAACAGATGAATTACGAATCTGCAATAAAGGGTGACCACTAGTGCGTGTGTGTGTGGTATAGATATACTGTATTATTACATTTATCCTTTCTTCTTTCATTTCCACAATGGGTTTGTATCTTATATGACTAAAAAAAAATTTTTTAGTTTTATTCATTGATTTTAACAATGTTAATGAATATATAGTTCATATACAAAACTTACAATTAAATGGTTCTGAAAATAATTAAATGTACAAGTACTTTAAGGTAGAAAATGAACGATATACTGTATATTATTCTTCTCCTTTACAATTCATTAAGTTTCTTCAGTTTGCTAGCAATAGAACCAACAAAATTACTAGCTGGTACATACTTTACCAAGGCAAGAATCATTTGTTCAATCTCTGTTTTTAAGTCCATAAAACTGATTTTGGTAATTTCATTCGTCTTATTTCCTTTCTTTTTTTTTATTGTAGAATTGTCCTTTTTATTACCACTGATATCGACATTGTTAAAATTACTAATATTAAGGCAACTGCTTTCCACATTTTTATTAGCAGACATTTCTCTACTTTCATCACAAGCATCCTGTAATTTGTATGTTTCTGCTCCATTTGCTAAAATTAATGAATTTCTGCTCTTCTCTTGTATGTCACTTCCTTCACAACTATCTCCCTCTTGAACTTCATTATGCAATTTAACCTGTCCATGAGAATTTAAATCTTTGTCCTCATTTTGTTTATCTTCAGTTTCACTTGGTAGATCGTTTCCTTGGCCTTTTGTCACAACCATCTCTTTATCAACTACATTTATGTTATGGCTATTTTGTAGTTTATTTTCCTCTTTGCCTTTCATATCTGACTGTGTTTCCTCACAACAATATTTCTGGGTTTTTTCATATTTAGAAAATTGTAACTTTCCACTGGTGATTATCTCTTCTAAGACAGCAATGAGACGAGCTAAGAAAAGGGATGGCAGGTCAGAGTTACACTGGTACAGGGACACCACATGACACCACCATCTAAATATGCTGCCAATGTGCTGGAATCTTTTATCGGAAGGTAGTGGCTGTAGTAATTCCTCCAAATACATCTGTAGATAAATCAAATATAAATGTTTGGGATATAAAGTACAGTACTGTACAACTATTTCATTCATCAAAAAGCTAAAGTTCTTAAATATGAAGGAACATTCTCTCATGATCATGATTTTTTACAAATTATATTTGAAAAGTAAAAATTTTCATACATTAATAGTGAAAAAAAAGTTCTGTACTGTATAATGAAACTGAAATACTGTAAAGTAGGCCCTCAACAGAATGCAATTTGAACCTGTGCGGCATCCAAAAATTCACCCATTTTTTTATTATTGCTTGGTCGATCTGTTATCATGCAGTTTAAGCCCAGAAATTTTAAACTACAGAAATTGGACCACCACATTCATCACTTAACACCTTGGGTATGAGGGGTCTCTCTCTGCTGAATAAAACTGTCTCAATAACACAAATAAAATATTAAAAGTGGCATCTAGTAGTGCGGTGGTTTGTGTTGATACTGTAGTTTATTAACAAGTGTTTTCAGTGTTAGTACAGTATAGGGTATTTTGTATTGTGACAGAATATTTTGTAATACCCTACAGTAGTATAAGCAAAAAGAGAGAGAATATTAAAATAGATACAGCTGCATTTGGTGGTATTAAAATTAAAAATGGTCCACTTCAAAATCCCCTGAGAACCACCCTTCTACCTCCAACCAATAATTTATCTTCTCATCTGTAACTACTCAAACCCAGTACTGTACCTGTATACAAATGAGTTCAATAATTCGAGCTAAGAAACTGAAATATTATCACATTATTCTCACTGTATAGCTGGCATGAATGATTTAGGATGCGAATGTTTTGTAACACATTCCAATCACACTGTTACTGGACCAAAATTACCAGTAAGTTTATTATCATTAGTTGGTGTTACATTCCTAGAGGTCATTTTTGTGCATTTTTCTCACATAAATGGTTTGTACTTCACTTAAAAACACAAAACTTTAGGATTTTTTTTTTTTTTTGTGTGAGGGAGGGGGAGCATTCCTTCACAAAGTTCATCTGTTGCAAATGGTCTATCATGGAATCTTGTGCAATGCTCTCTCGGCCTTTACATACAAACAGATATCGTGATTTACATTCCTCTGTATGCAAAACAAATAACTCTCTTTCTCTTTCATTCTTCCTATTTCCCTCTTACTTCCTCTTTTGTCCATAGCATCTGACAACCTCCCCCCTTAACTTCCTACTCTCACACCAGACCTGTTAATTTCACCAAAAATTCACTAAACAGCTTCACTTCCATATTGTTTCTCACAATTGTGCAATTTAAGATCAATTCAGTAAAAACAATTGCAAAAGATGATAGTATAAAACAGATACCCTAAAACAGAACATAAATGCAGATGGATATGTAAAACAATAAGCTCATTGGCTAGTAACCACAGGGCATTAAATCAAGAATTACTTTACCATTGCAGCAGTAGCAAAGCATCTGAAACAATGCTGGATGGAGACAGAAGCAGGTTGGAATGGTGTACCATCAACTATCTCTTCTTTGGCCATGGACCCTACAGTCATGTGAGCACAGACCAGGTACAACACCTCCTGAAATACTTGCAGTGTTGGGTATACCTAAAAAAAAAAAAAAAGAGGGAGAGAGAGAAAAAATAATAATAACTAAATTAATCAAATGTAAAACTACTTTTCTTAGGTGTATGGCCACTATATCTCCCATTAATATTGTACTTTGCCTTAAATTAAAATTTTTATTTAATCTCATCAAGTTATCTCTTTGGAACTCCCTCTCCGAGTTTTTCATAACTCGGGTACCCTATAACTAACTGCAGCATTTAGTACAGAAAATCCTGTTAAATTTCCAAACTTATGTCTCAAAATACATTTAGTAATCATCAAAGTTAAACATAATTAAAATACTGTAATGGGAAGAAGGTTATAACACAAGAAAACACAAAAATACAGAACCACATATAGAAGCCATATTATGATTATGGATTCATTCTTATTTCACAAACTTCTAAAATAATCAGATTACTTTTTTAATATATGCCATATATTTTTTCATATACTCTCATACCTAACCTAACCATAACACCTACTGAATTATTAGAAGATGGCCAAAAGGACCTAAAACACATATATAGTTTAAAACCGTTTTGTAAGGATATTATAAGCAAGGAAGGGAACGCCAGTCCCAACTTCTATTATCATCATCTTTTTCCTAGTTACACATGGCCTAGAGTAAGTGCCTTCTATTTTAAGTGAATCTACTTAAGTTTGTTATGAAAATTGGTGCACATACTTTACCACAATTAGTAAAGGAAAAAATTAACGTAATACAGAAGTTGAAGAGATAGATCAAGGTATAGATAAATATAAAAAATATGCAAGTTAACATCTTAGATCAATGTTTAGTTGTTTACTTACCAAATGCAAAGACTGCAAAGCATGGTGTGTTAGGAAGAATGCAGATATCCATTCAGGTTCACTACTGTGTGGTAACAGCTGGAAATAGTATAAAATCAAACTTTATGTGAAATATACCATTTGAACATTTCACTGGCTGCAAGCTTGTGAGAATGCCACATATCGGGAAATAAAACATGATATTAGTAAATCAAAGAGACAAATACATTAAGATCAATAATAATTCTTTGGCTATGTTCAAAGTTAGGAACCATAAATTTGTTTTCAGCCTAGTTCCATTTTGCTATATGGGTTACAAGCAAAATTTGTGGGTTATAAATTAATAAATTATATAAACAACCTCACAGTGTAAATGTACACAAAAATGTTTAAACATAACACAGCCAGAATTTTTCACATATATGTGCCAATTGTTTCACTTCAGAACTTTATTCTGGCTACCACCAGACAATTTTACTTAGTTTAGGGAAACTCCAGGACCTAAAGGGTTAAAATGTATCTTGATTAATCCTTTTGAGCCAATTGTTGCACTTCAGAGTGTTATTCTGGCTACCACCACACAATTGTATTAAGCATAAGGAACCATCAAGAACCAAAGGCTTAAACACATATACAGTACTGTATACAAACACTTTCAAGCATACATAAACACAAATGATAAACACACTACACACCCAACTGACAAAGCCCAAAGTGGAAGATTTAAATACAGATTTATAAGTTCACACAGAAGTGTTGCATTTTTTTTTTAAGGGATTAGCCCACCTGGGCACAGGTCACTGACCCACATCAGGGCCTGGGGGGGGGAATGTAATATTAATAATAATAATAATAATAATAATAATAATAATAATAATAATAATAATAAAGAACCATAAAGATATACAAAATGAAAAAAGATCAAAAGTGAGAAACAATATACCTGTATATATGTAGTGTTGTTAATACCTGTAGTAAGTGAAACAATTGAGACCCTGCAATTGTGTGTAAATGAGGCAGAAAGTCAGATCAGCAACCTGAGACTTGGTCACAAATTTCTCATGCCATATGGCAGCAGGGTCTACCATTAGACAACACATTATGATTCCAATATCTTCCCAGGCAGTAGTACCTCCCTGTTTGGTAGCTGCTACAGTATAAGCAAAATTTAATAAACTACTGTTATCTTAATATGGTACCGTATATACAAACAGGAATATCAATACTGTATTCAATATACAGAAACAATAATGAACTGTACCTTGAACAAAGCAATAACCCATTCTGATCTTGAAATGCCAATCAAGGACTTAGAGTTTTTATCTATGCAGTCCATACGACATTTCTTTCCTTCTTGTCCTTCCATCTCTATCTTCATCATTGCATGTTGAATACAATCTGCATAAGAATCTTGGCATTCCTTTAAGTCCAAAATTTTGGTCAGTGGAAATACACTGCGTGGGTGTAGCTGGTATTTCACCATCAGTTGTTTGAGTAAAGAAATATCTGAAAATACAAAATTATAATTATTTAAAACACTGTACAATTCAACAATGATTATTAACAAAGACTAGTGCCAATAGAATGATGAGGTAAAAGCTAGCTTTTGTGACATAATTTACTAATTTGACCTATTCCTCCTACTGTCCAGGAGAAAAAAAAAAACTTTGCTCTTAAATACAATTCCCCTTTGAAAACTATAATCACAATAGGGGAGCTTTACTAATCATTCAAGTACTGTATGTCTCAGTGACTACGGTAATGTCAAGCTTCATGGGTCCACAACATAAATGTTACTAACCTTTCTCATATTCTTGCAAATTCCTAATGATATTATCTGAAATGGTACTGACAGCACTCACAGCATCCATCCTGAGTGATAGAGTGCCAGGTGCATCATGACTCTGCAGGTTGACTGTTGCATGAATAATATGCACCAAGGTCAGTATGAGACTCACAAGTGATGGACCAGGTTTCACTACAGCAGATGATTTGTGTTCCACTATTTCCTGGGAAAACAAAAACATAATTTGTCCATCTATCCATGAAAGTGAAAACCGCTTCCAACATTCAAAGAAAATTCTCGTATCTTCCCTAAACATCTTACTTCCACAAACAGTATCTCAATATATACAGGCATCAAACAGGAACACACACGCTACTGTATTACAATGAGATCCAAAATTAAATGATAATACCTGTATGGAGGGAATGAGTGGTCAATAATGATAAAGAAAACATTTTATGTGAGGTAAACTGTCATTAAAGTTAGGTAGACATTTATATCTGGATGAACTAGGGATGTCCCGAGTACAAACCACAAACCCTTAGAACTGGAGGCAAGCACTGTACTGTATCTGTGAAGGTGAGGTTTTTCCCCACTTCAGGCCCTGAGGTCTATGGTTGTGACCTGTGGACTTAATGGTTATATGAAACAGCTCAATCCAAAATGTAAGTTTATAAATGACAAGCAAACCCCATTGTTAACAATACGGGTGCCATACTGTGTAATATTCAAATCTGTCACCAGAAAAGATAAATGAAAGATAGCATATAGAATACAAAATTTGTATTCTATATGCTATCTTTAATATATAAGCAGTACACGTTTAATGTGTTACACAAAGCCTACTAAACATAATTTTATCCCTGACATGATATAAAATATTTTTCAATGTTAATGAGAAACCCTCACCTTAAGTAAATCTAATGGCAAGGTAAGCTTATCCATATCCTTGCCACTTGTCACCACCAGAAATGGCTCAATCATCACTTTCAGGACCTCAGACGCTGCCAAGACATTCTCAGCGCCTAATAATCCTTTCACTAGAGCAGCAAATTCTTGTTCTTGCCTACCTGAGAACCCATTACTCTGTTGCTCAAGTAGTGTGGAAACTAGTAGAGATTTACCTGAAAAGAACAATTCATTTAGCAAAAGAGAATATGCTGCAAGGAAAGATGAGTTACAGGTCGATCCCTGATTTACAAAACGGTAACATTCCTAGAAAACCTTCATAAATAAAAAATACTGTAAACATTTAGAAAATGATAAAAGGGAAAAATACACCCAACCATACCTTATACAACACAATTATCTATGTAGCCCAGTTTAACCTCAGTGACAATGAGACATCAACTTAATCGAAATAATAAGAAATCAGACTTATCTAACATTCCTTTGAAAGGTTGGTGACTGGATAGAGAGGGTTATTACTGGATATCAAGTTCATGACCTTATTCAAATGAAGTGTGATCTGTGCAGCACAAAAGAAGAGCTGTATGACATCCTGACTTATCACACTACAGTACTATTATGTTTTTCCAGGAAACCATCAGCTCCAATCTCTAATTCTGAACAAAGGTTGTCACAGGTTTAGAACTGTTTGATATAATTACCTGATGGTAAAACTGCTTGGCAAACTTGGGGGATGGCTGTCAGTGCTTGGACCATAACTGGTATTAATCCACTCAGACTGACTGCCAGCAACACAGCTTGCTTCACTACAGCTTTCCCTGATTGAAGACATAACCATACATGCTTCTCTGAAGGCTGAAAGAAATAAAAATAAAATTCATAATATTAAGTGCTTTGTGGAGTTAAACATACAGCTGATGCTGAGTTGCAATGAAACAATAGAGATAACCCAAATGGGTATCTTAAAGAATTATTGAAGGGGAACAGCACAGCAAAACACATCTTGTATGACAGTTAGAAAAAATGAATGACAAGCACATGAAGGAAGTATATGTGTTGGTCTTTTAATCTATCCACTATGTGCTCTAAGGAGGAAGGGCTTACTATAGTAAAACAATTACAATAAAAATATAATGTGTTGGTCTTTTAATCTATCCACGATGTGCTCTAAGGAGGAAGGGCTTACTATAGTAAAACAATTACAATAAAAATATAATGTGTTGGTCTTTTAATCTATCCACGATGTGCTCTAAGGAGGAAGGGCTTACTATAGTAAAACAATTACAATAAAAATATAATTTTCAAGAATTACAAGTATTTGATTTGTAAATTGGTAAATGAATACTAATTTCTAATCTGCATTCACTTATTTGCAGTGGAGTACTTGTGACTTTGTGAGCCCATCCTAATTTGTTTATTACTTAATCTTAATCATTACCCCTAAGTATAATGTGAGTGGGGAAGCCAAATCTCTTGGTAAGAGGCAAAGGAGAGTCATGAGTTTGAGCAAAAATTAATGTGTTTGATTGAATTACAAGCAAGAATTCTACAATTCTTCTCAGGTAAAACTGTGTTTTCACGCAAAGTCTCCCGATCTGAATCCTCACTGGTTTCTGAATCTGGATTTAACTTCATAAAAAGGCTGATTTGTACTTAGTTCCAAACAAAACACTGTATGAATAATGTCAACCTGCCACCAAGCATTGTACACTTCCCGGCTCTGCCTTGGGATTCACAATGGTGGTCTCCTTGCAAGCCATTCTTGAGAATCCATATGACATCAGTGTCTTCTCACATGAATCACAAGACAAGCTTAAGACAAATTAAAATAATATTATGTTATATTCACCACAACTGAGTCCTGTGCAGCCAGCTGATTGAATATAGATGTTAGCTGATTAGGAAAGTCGGCAGTTTTCAGAGTCTCATCCAGTCCTGCTGCAAGATGATCTTCAATTATTGGCAAAAGGTGTTTAGCAGGAAGAGCTGCTACCATGTCCAGGACCAGCTGCGGGAAAATATTTCAATTAAAACTGAAAGGGATATTAAAAACTAGTTAAAAATATACATACTGTACATACTCTATACATGTAGTGTAACTATATACTGTACACTAAGTCCTCAATTTAATTTGGGAATGTGCTCCTACAAAATGCCAAGTTAAGCAAAACAATATAACTTAAACCCCATTTTAAAGATGGCAATGAAAAATAATTTTGGATCCATTCCTTGGGCAAGTTTTAGACAAAATTCAGAAAAAACAGTGATTTCATTTTTTCTTCAATAATCCTCAACCTCATGGCAGGTCCCACTGATCTTTATCTTTGATTTAAACACTTACGCCCGTATTATTAAACAAAATCTTCCCTTCCAATACAGTACTGTATTACAAATTAATTTATAATATTGGAATTAGTTCATTTTACCGCCACACCACCCCGTTAAGTACAGTACTGCGGTGTCCCTCAGGACTCATTTAGTTTAAAACTCGGGTTGAAACACGACGACCCTCTTCAAGGGTCGATGTTGTTTAATAATACAGGCGTTAATAATCTCCCCATTTTACCCATTACCTTCCCTTTACCTTTTATCATTTTAGCAGCACTTAACTGGGTCACACTTTAAGCACAATCATTTAATTCATCAGCATTAGCATGTACTGTATACTTGATCCACCCCTTAAATGAGTTCCAATGTGTAACAATTTTATGCAAACTATCCTAACATATGAGTAATAACTGGTAAATAAAAAAATTTCTGTCTTTTGCACTCCCCTAATACAGTATACAATATTGATATATTTTACACAGATCGTTACTACTGTACTCACATCTAACCATTCTGAAGTGTATCCTCTCTTTGCTTTGACATGCTGAATAAAGCCAAGTAAAATTTCTTTTCTTGCTGCACCATCAACAACTGTACTGTACTTTTTCATACACTCCTGACAATCCTGGGAGGTAAAAATATTCTCTCTTCTGGCAAGTATTGCAAGGAGTTTTGCCTGTCGTTCATCTTCTACGCTTATCTCCTCTATTAACTTATCCTGGTCGAGATTCTGGTCAGGATCATAGTCAGGGTCTAATGCTACATGCTGGAAGAATTGCATTAGACCTTGATATGTATTAGTGTTTAGGTTTTTATGTATCTCTGGATGAGAATTAAAAATCTTCAGTATATCAAAAGCTATGTTGCATATAACTGACTGTATGCTCTTTTGCCGAGCTTTCCCATGGTGAACCGAAGAATTCCTATGAACAGTGACAACAGCTGGTAAAATCAGATCATTCCACTCTATCCACACATCTACATTTACTGCTTCACTGTTTTGCTGACATATATTTAGGAGAGATTCAATACTTTTTCCGATGAATAGAAAGCAGCGTCCTTTGCCAAGTTGTTCTTTTTTGTGGGTACTTTTCCATAAATGTGTCCAGGTTTGCAAAGACAGATAAGTTTCAGGTTCTTTTAAGCAACAGCCAGCATAGACAGTTAACATCAAATATAAATACTCACATATATACATATAATAATAACCACTGGACTTAATTAACACCTGTGTCTTGCTTGAAACATTCTTAGAAGATAGGAACTTTAATAATAAATGTAAACACTCCACATCACTTAATACACTGTCATCTTCTACACAGTTGTACTGAAAACTGAAGAGCAAACCTTTCAACAATTCTAATGAGACTGCAAGAGTAAGAGGTGTCACTCCATCTACCCAAAGGAAATATTCTCTTGTTATTTCCTGAAGAACCCCAGGTGAGACCCAACACAGAACTGGGGATAAAAAACGATAATTTTTCTGACTTCTGACAAGAGAGAAGAAGACAGATTCCTTAAGTACTGGTAAGGTCATAGCAACTGCTTGAAAATCTTGGCATGTCTGAATAACTGGAAGTTCCCGTATTCTTGGACAACACAAAAGCAGCAGTAGAGTTGCTCTTGCTCGAAAATCATCAAATTGCTGGTCTTTATTTCCATTTGCAGACGTCTTCTTTACACGTAGAAAACAATCACTGACATTTTTCGTCAATTTGTTTTCATTTACTGTATCATCATCTGCAAAAACAATAACAGACGTATTAAATTGTGAAAGGAACAAGTATGATTAATTTTTTAGGTTAAAATTATGTTATGGTTTCTTCTTGTTTCAAAAGAAGGCTTTGTGTTTTAACTCAATAAATGTACTGTATATCTGGTGACAGCAAAGGAGAAAATAACTACATTTAGGAAACAGCATGTAGGCAAGAACTAATCACAGACCAGCATTAAAATGTATGGTAATACTCTGGAACAGTTGTGGAGGTTAACCAGAAACTTTGGTAAGATTCGGATCATATGGCAGTAATTTCATATTTCCAAGTCCTTTGTAGGTGAAAAATAAAAGATAATATTATCGTTTCGGTCACAGCGAATTTTAGGATTTTAAGTTTAGGGCTGTTGTCTTTTGTTTCTTACGGGGTAAAGCCCACCCGGGCACAGGTCATCAACCCACAACGGGGCGAAAAAATAAGAGTAAAAAGAAATTAAAAGTAGAAAAGAAAAAGACCATATTAATCTACACCACGAAAATGCCGGAAAACCAGCTTTTTAAAGTATGAGATCGTAAGAGTATGGAAACACAGACGAAGGCAGAGCATTCCACAGTTTGGCTGTGTGAGGAAAGAAGGATGTATTATAACGGGTTATTCTAGTGTGACCGACAGCCACAGAGAAACTGTGGGCACCGCGGGCAAGACGTGTGTTACGAGCCCACGGCCTTGCCAGCAGTACACCAGATGCCAAACCCACCAAACATTGCCCATTAAAGTACCTGTAAAAGAGAGACAGAGAGTGAAGCAACATTGTGGCAAAGAGAAAGGGAAGAAAGATTATAAGAAGGAGAGTCAATAAGACGAAATGCCTTTGATTTCACCCTATCTAACAGTTGGACAGAAGAAGAGCCACCCCAGATATGAGAGCAGTACTCCAAGTTAGGAAGAATGAATCCCTTATAAACTTGAAGCAACTGCTCAGGAGTGAAGTAGCTATGGCATCTGCAAAGCATTCCCGGCTTTCGGGAGGCAGCTTTAGCAATGTTAGGTTAGGTTAAGTTGAAATTGTTTTTCCAATTGTTTTTATGTGTTTTGAATGATTCTGTCCTTCTTCAAAATAGGTGCATGACTGAAACGATAGTTTTACCAAATAAAATAGTTACAATAATTAAGGCGCTGTGGGATCTCCCGTGGCGACCATACTACGGTTAACACTGGCCACGGTCTTTGTTTAAATGTTAAGAAATAAACAATGATCTATCAGTCATGTTTATTACTATTTATGGTAATTATATAGAACTAACCCACGAGCAAAATTTATTGAAAATAATTATAAAAATGCTGTTGTAGTTTGTGGAAATATGCTAAAAAAATTAATTTTTAAATAAACTCTACTTAACATTTGTGGGGATGAAGAACAGACCTAAACAACCAAACCAAACAAACCTACCTACCTAACCTTACCTTACTTCCTCGGTACAGTATATTAAACAGAAAGAACTTACTACATGGTGAAATTTGAGGCATTTTCTGGACATGAAATGATACGGCCGCATCGGCGCTATGCAGCCCTGGCGGGTTAGTCCTATATATTAATCCGATTTATATTGGATTGAAATAGTTCATTTTTCTAGTGATGTTTGGATGATAGTAAGAAAATCGGAACAGCAATGCACAGGTTAGGAAGTTAAGTAAGGTTAGGTCAGATTCTAATAGGTTCTATGCATTCTTGCTTCCATTTTCGTGTTCAGTATCTTGCAGATAGTATCTCCAGAAATTCAGGTTCAATTCCATAATTTATTTATGGTACTAACCGTTTCCTTCATCTTTACCGTGTAAATAAATTACCTAAACAAATACTGTACAGTACACCTTATTAATGATCACAACCATGAACCTTTATGACATTGATGAGTTGGTCCTCCCATAACAGCTGTCATCATATTTGAACTGCTTCCATATGTAAAATACCAAAATTTAAAATAAAAGCTGCTTCATATAGTTAGATATGGACAAACTTTGATCTCGTCATTAACATCTTGTATCACTTACCAACAGAGGCCTTGAGAGCACTGATCAACCACATCATATGCTGATCTACTTCCATTATTCAAGTTTGTAATTCACACAACAGTAATGACACACTGTAGCAGCTGAGTGTTGTGTCGACCATCACATGTGGTCCTCAGTCACTGGACCTCCGGGCACTGACGACTCTTGGGATAACAAAGATATATTTCTCAATGGTAAAGTAGAATTTTCTTTAAAAACTTATTATTTATACCATTTATGATTAATTTGATCCACATATTAAAAACTAAACAAAATATTACCTGGACGAGCAACTTATCACACCTTTATTCCCCGAACCCACATCGGATACACGAAAGACAAAAAATAAATAAAATTAATAAATAAAACGTAATTTTCCAGTTAAATTATGATAATTGTGTCATTATATAATTTATTAATCATTTAGCTAAACAATGAACAAAACTTACCCCAACTCAGGAGATATGTTACTTTTAATTCATCCATAAGAGAAAACCACTACCACAATACTTCCGCTCATTATTTTTATAGTTATATCAAATCCAATTAATATTATCTGTTTGTAAAAAAAAATATAAAATAACTAGACGTAGATATTGAACACATTAAACAAATGAAACAGTGAGTTCATCGCAAAATATATATTTTTTCTAATTGTTGATGGGCCAGTTTACTGTAATTAGATACTAACTTTGTTACGCCTTTAAACACTATAGTTGTTGAAGCAAAGTAATGGTATTATAACGTCAGCTAGACGAATGTCACATCTAATACATTACTGTGTTGAGTACACTACATTATTTTTGATAGTGTTGGGGTACCTTTCATAATTGTCTTGGGTTCGATCCCCAGCCAGGACAGGTGTGAGAACAAAGAAGGGAGTAATCAAGTGCAACTCTCCCAAACCTTTTTAATGAGCAGACTAGAGTGAAAATGGAAATGCAGTACAGTACAGTAGGCAAGGAGAGACAGAGGTATACAGTATATTTATTCTGCAAAATTGTCTATATTCACATTGGCTCAGATAGTGTAGGTATACAAGGAAAATTGGTAGTACTGTACAGTAAGTCCTCGCTTAACATCGGGGTTACGTTCCTGAAAACACGTTATATGAAACAGCGTTGGTCCGGATAGTACGCACCGTTGTGGGGGTTAGACCAAGCACAGCGGTTATGTCCACAGCACATTCCCCTTTTTCAAATCGGGTTAATGCACCCATTTTTGTAGCCAGGGTAATGCTACTTGATGGGCGCTTGGAAGCCATTTCGAATGGTTATAGTACAGTTTTAGAGCAAAAGCACTTAAGCACACACAAGTGACGTGAAGTCGTAACAAAGACTGGCTTGGCGTCGCTTGGGGACGCTGTGACGTTCCGCAAGTGAGGGCATCGCGCTGAGCCAAGAGAGCATAGCGCGGCCAGACAAGAGCGGGTGATGCGCTGTAAAAAGTAGTTCATGACAAAACAAAATGACGTAGTATCGGATCACCGGGACGTTAAACGAATTTTTGGTCTCTAAAGTTTAGCGACGTAGTACCGAAACATCATTAAGTGCGGACTTACTGTACACTGTACAGGCATACCACAATGGCAAATAGATAAAATAGACAATATGGTCAAGGATATTTAGACTCTGCCATTATAAGTTTATTTGCATTAAATGAATTAGTGTCCTTTGTGACTAAATGTAACAAGCTTCACATTGTAATTAGACTAATTGAGACTAGTGTGTCTTATTCACAATACACCTGTGTAGTATCCATATTGTACATAATTAACACAGAAAATCGCTCTCTACTCTTGGTGTAGCTTCATAAGTGATGTACTGTACAGTATACTGTGCATTATTTCAATTTTAAGTTTGTATTGTTTGATACTATTCCTAGATTAAATAAGGTAAGGTAAATTATTTTAGTCCTCTATAACTGTATAGAAGAAAGTGGTTTTTGTTCAACAGCATAAACCAGGTGATACAAAATTATGCTTACTGCCCCTAATGCATTGATAATTCATATACTGCAAAATATCATGGATACAAAACAATGTTTACAGGACTTCATGACTCATATAATCTCTTGCTTTCATTTCCAAAATAAATCTTGCTGTATTTTGTTATTTGTAGTTTGGCTTTGAGATTTTCTGATAAGCCAGGGTACAGTATCACAATGAATAGAAATAATGTAAATGGCATCGAATGAAAGCTAAGCAGAAAGTTCTTTAAGCCTCAGTTGGTAGGCATTGTGCTTTTATATAAAGAAGTTTTATTCTAGCATTGCTTTCTTCACATTATTTACAATTACAGTACTTCAACAGTAAGCAGTGATGTGTTGAATATGCAACAGACACCGAGAACGACTTGATTCATCATAAAATCATGAATACGATTTCGAGTCACAAAGAGGAAGGAAACAATCTTTGAAGCGATGTTTCAAGCACTAATGAATACAACTAGTTTAGGTGGTACGTATTGCAAGCTTATGTGGATGTCTCTCTCTCTCTCGTTTTCAATACAGTATTGGCAGACATAGAATCTAAGCTCTCCACCTATTGGCTTTTTATTTATTAAATTTTACTCCTTTTGGTTAGTGGCATCGCTGGGCAAGTACGTACTTGGGGGTATAAAACCGTACATTAGCCAAGATCTACATTTATTAGTTTACCCAAAAGATGTGTGAACTGGAGAGGTTCTACTGTATTGTATTCCACTTTATAATTTAGGTTTTAGGGTACAGTAAAGTCCCACTGAACGAGAATTTGGTTTAAAGAGCATAATTTTTTGGGTATGAAACTTCAGTGACCAAGCTTAGATTTAATTTAACAAGCAAAATGTCAGCAAACTATTCCATGCCAGCAAATGAAATCCAAAAGATGTACAGTATACGCAGAACATGCACAACTTAGTGTAACATAATGTACGCAACACAGTATATACACTAATGGATTAATGACTAAGTAACAAAATGACACTGTTAGGAACAATGTAAAACAGGGACTTTACTCATCTTTGGGGTGTATTGAGAGCAAATTGAGACTATGTAAGTTTAAGCGAGAGTGCTTACTTAGTCTTTTGCAAGCTAACCAGTTTGAATAAGGCAACAACTACAGTAATTTAGTCAGGCCTCTCTCTATGATCTCTAATAATTTCTGGAACTCAATCCCTCACAAGACTTCAAGTTTCGCTTCTCAAAACAAGAAAAGCAATTCAACATTACCTGAATGAAAGGAATTAAATATTGTTTGGCAAATATTAAGTGGAGAACCTATAATCGGCAACCAATTTGAACTTTATATCCCAAATCATTTGGTCTCAGACATAACAGAACATTTATATCATTTGAAGAGAACAAGAGCACTTATTGCCTAGATAATTAAGGCAACCCTCCTTACAAACTTCTATTATGGATTCACTCAGGTTATGAATGAAAACAGAAAACTCAGGTGACATAAAATGTAACTGACAATTAATCATCGTAATCCTCTTAAACATTCAGGGAATTCATAAAAAGTGTAACCAGTTCAAGACTAAAAAATACCATCAGTAAAACAGGTGTATTCTCAACACTTGTCCTTCTGTACAAAAGTTGCCTGATGATTAGAAAACCAACCAAGAGTCGTAGTCATGCTACCTAAAGTCTTAGGGAAATAGAACTATGAACTTTCTTTTAGGGCTCAAGAGGGCTTGAAGCAAGCAAGCTAATGAATCACAGTCAAACACTTAAATTCAGAGAACCTGAATCCTCACTCAACAATGATTCACCCCATGGTTCATGGGTTTTTGATGATATATTATTAACTGGGTGTGAAGTGTTGTAACAAAAATATTATCTAGCCTTACCTGGCAAGATAAAGTACCTGCCATTATGCTGTATGCCTCCCAGAAGAGTACAGGGAGGGCACTTAGTAATCTGGATGTGACAGGTCACTCAAGATGACTGATAGGTCATAAACTGTTTACTGTAAAATAAACTGAGAAACATATGTAAGCCAGTAAATTATAGTATTGAATATCACAGATGATTTTTGTATCTAAAGTGACAAACACCATATATGATAATAATAAGTAAACTGAACAATTTCACATGTTTAATAATGAAACACATCGGTACATAAATTATATTCCTAAATAAATGCTATTCTATGTCTTCGGGTCTTACAGGATGTGTTAATGGGACAACTGATTTCTGATGTACATCACGTGATAATGCCTTCCTCATGTCTGGAATAAAAAAAGAAAAATTGGTGTTACTGCAAAGAATCTTGCTTTCAGTAAAAATAATCTGATTATTTTGATGTTTGATGTTTCATTGTTTTCAAGCACACTAAATACTACAGAACAAAAACTGTTAAGATGTAATTTTTCATGAAAACATTTAAGATGTTTAGTGTTTAATTCAAGTCCATAAACGAATCTCGAGCGAAATGTCTAGAACAAACCACTTTCCCAATAATGTACAAGAAGAGGAGTAATAAATAGAATCCTAAAATCCCCTTTCATGGTAAAGGGCTCAGGTGAGTTGACTGTGACTTCCCACACATTGAATCCCCCCTGGCAGAGCTCATCCTGTTATGATAGGATAATCAGCTGCAGAAAGATTTCTTCTTTTATTCATACAATCATTGTAAACACAGCTACTTACCCAGATATATCTGTAGTTTAAAATAGTATCCATTAATGCATTGGTTACTTTAATGATCAGGAGTCAGAACTCAAGTGAATCCCAACTAGTCTTACGAAACCTCATGTCATAAATATTCGATCATGAGGAAGCAAAAATCACTTATAGTCACTTTTGTGTGTAACCCTTGGAAGGAGGGAGTTATGCAGGTCACCATCTTTACAACCATCAGTATTATTTATGCTTATGAGTGGCAAGTGATTTATGATCCAGGAATATAATTTTACTTCAGTTTCTTCAGTTATTTCATATCTGTACATTATGTGGTTTCACAAAATTAAACACTAAGATTGGTATGGGGGCTTTGAGAAGGTTGCTTGAGGAAAGGATGATGAAAAGGGTATCATCATCATCCTTTTACGGCCATTTTCCATGTTTGTGTGGGTTAGCCGCAGCTACCTGAAGGCAATTCCATTCTGCACAATCTCTCTTGTCAGGTTCCTAACTCTAATGCTATTTCTTACAACCTTTCCCCATGTCATTCTTGGCCTACCCCTTGCTCTTCTCCCCTCTACAACATTAAGGCCCAATTGATCTTATACATTCTCTCCACATGCCCAAACCATCTCAGCCATCTCAATGCAGAACTTTGTCCATAATCTCAACCAGCTGCCCTCTTAGCTCTGAACAGGACTTCCTGTTTTCCAGTGTCACATTAGACATCCACCTCACCATTTTCATTTCAGCTTGCTCAAGACTACTTACGTCATCCTCTTTAACTGGCCATGTTTGCTGCCATACATCACTTTTCTCACACCAGCTGCATACATTCTTCCTTTCACTCAGAGGGAAGGTTCTCTAGCAATCAGTAAAGGCAGCAGCTCCCTCAACTTTCCCCAGCCACTTCTGACTCTTGCAACTGAGCAGTCAGAAGCACCCCCACAGAGATAATACAGGCATCCCCCGCGTTACGGAAGGGTTGAGTCCCTGGAAAATTGACAGTATCACGAAATTCAGTAACACGAAACCTATTTTCCCATTGACTTCCATTATAAAACTGGAGATGCGTTCCCAAGGAATTTTTCTCGGCCCAAAAAGTAATTCAAGCACTTTTATGAATGAAAATAAACATTTATAAACACATACAATACAGTACATTAAATAATTTATGATATACAGTACCTTCTTAAAACATCAAGTTTAGTATTCAATGTAATGCCTTTGCGGCTTCTTTTGCACTACTGCGGTCACTTCCACTTGATGGCCTCTTTCCAGTCATCTTGAATAAGGGTAATGCACTGTACTGTACTTACTGTATGTTTGTAAAAGTTAAATCCAACTGCTGGGGCGAGAAACATGCTCGCACACTGGATGTAAACAATGGACTGACTCTGCGGGGCGACGCCACGCTTGGCGGTAGCAAACACCAAGAAATCCACACCAAACAAATTATAATTGTTAACAAAAATTTTTAATTATATAGTGATTTTTGTTTTAATTTTTAAAATTTACCCAATTTCCATAAGGGCAGATTTACGCGACGCAACGCGAAATTATTGGTCAAAATTTACAAATTCCGTAAGAGCGAAATTCCGCTACCCGGGGTTCCGTAACACGGGGATGCCTGTATAGCAAAAGAGTGGAAATAGGGAGACAGCCTTCATTGTGGGAAAGAAAGGCAGAACAATACCCTACACATAGGAAAGAACAGGCAAGATTAAAAGAGGAACAGTGGGAGCAAAAAGAGATGAGTAGCTATGGGTCAGCCTGAAGGCTCTTCTGGCATGACAACTCCATCCAAGGGAAGCGCCTTGGGAGAGAAAGGTATTGGAGATATACAGGTAGTGATCAATTATATTTCTCAGGGAAATGTTTCAGCAGTGATAATGATTGTCTGACAACTAACTGCACAGTAATTTTTAATACCCAAGTTTTAAGTTGTGATTTTCAAAATACAAAACTACTTTAAAAAAGAGGAAACAGAATAGCACAACAGCAAATAATTGGTGTCACCACTCTCTCTCTCTCTCATTAGTTTCATACAATATTCACTATGAGCAAAGAGCAAAAGAAACCATTGTTATGTGTTAACTACAAATAATCAACTGTTATCAACACACAACATTTCCTCTTACTACAGTTAGTTGAATAAGGGGCAAGGACTACCTACATTTAATCATATAAGTAAAAAAAAAATCTTATTCAACATAATTACTATTCACCTAATATACTGTACAATCCTTCATAGAGTACAGTATTAAGCATATAGTTCCTCAGGCTTTATTGGATTCTTGCATGGAATCATTGAAATCTTTTTAACATCCTGAGACAGTGATTTTCTCATGTCTGAAAAAAATGGAGAGGTGACATACATGTACTTAGCAGTGACTCTTACAACTTTTTATTTTTCAATGGGGATCAAATTCCACAAAACACTAATAGCCTGAGTATGTTAGTAAAGTCCCATTTTATGGTTAAGGAAGGATAAATGCTTGACTTGTGAGACTATAATTCACTCAAATAGATGGCATCTGTTTTAAACATCCCATTAGTGATAACAAAGGAATGCTTATACGTACATGTATAGGTGTATTTAATTAAATAATTTTGCACAAATGCAAGTCGAATAAGCTGCATTTCAAACCGAAACACTAAATTAGTCATTAGGAAGAATACAATATCATGCTCTGTGAATGCTTTCATGCTTTGAACCTCCTCAGCCATATTTAAGAAATCACAAGCTCACTTCAACTTCCACATTGTTTTGCAACAAATATATGATCTAATGGTCAGGGTCATATCCTCATCCTTCCCCAGCCAAAAAATAATTTCACAAGCTTATCCCAATTTCTTTGGTTGATGTAGGATCATCAGACTAAACTCTATGAACACCAAACCAGCCAGGATAGAGGGTGGTAAGAAAGTTCTTGTACTATACCAAGGTGTTTGCTTGTAAATTCCCAAGAGCTACACACTGATTCATACTAATTGTATCATCGAGATATCTCCTGATAATGATTAATGTATATGACTAAGGTTTCTTTTCTTGAATTTTGAGATCTTTATGGTCTGATGCAGTAGGTCCAGGTCTGCTGGCTATTAGATGAAGCCAAATAGTGTGTGTGTGTGTGTGTGTGTAGAAGAGGGCAGAAATTAACTATGACTCCTGAAACCTTTGTACAGGCTTCAATAGTTTGCAAACAATGAATGAATGCCAGAAACATGAATCAGACAACCAAGAATCATCATTGCTTCTGAAAAACCTATAATTTATGGTCCTAAAATAATTATAGACACTAAAGGTTTGGGGAAATGATTTCTAAATGATGTGTTGATATGAAAATAATGATCTATAAATGGATAAAAAATCATGACAACATGTTTGTCATATGAAGTGGAAGGATTCAGCACTTATTACCAGTACCTTCTATGGATATTATGGATAAAGCAATATCATAAATCGAAAAGTTACAATAGTATTACATGGATAGAATAGTTCTGAATAGCTTCAAAATGAATACAGTACAGTACAGTACAGCACTATCGTTTCTACTGACCAAAAGCACAATCAGTAAGCTTTATAGAATAAAAGAGGTTAAGATATCACAAATGAATACCCTGTACTGTACTAAAATACATAATATACACAAGTCTTTCTCTCAGGAAGGAAAGTTTGTAATCAGTTAACATAAAAAAGAAGAGTTTCTCACCATAAGCATCTTCATCTGGATCTCCCGAGTAGTACTGCAACACAGTACGGTAAACAATATAGCCCAGTTTCTTGTACATTGTGATGGCTACCAGGTTGCTCACTCGCACAAACAGGTCTACGAAGTAACATCGCTTTCTGTAAAGGAAAAAAGGTAGAGCTTTATAGAGTGCAAATATAAGAAGTCCAGGGTATTGAGACAACCAAGGCTGTGGAGGAAATACTGATGTGCTCTTGTCAACTTAGTTTGTCATCTATAACGATATCAAGAAGTGTGAAGGATTTTATAAAGTGACGAGTGTTGGAAGCCCAGGAGAAAAAGGAGGTAGAGCATAATGTCCTTTTGGTGGTATGGTTGGCAGCATTCCAATTCTGGTGGCTGATCACAGTGTCCTGAAAGGTAGTGTGTCCATTATTTTTAGGATGACAAATTATAAGAAAGGAAAAATATGAAAATTTCAATTGCTACTCTTGATTTGTAGTTTTCTTGGGGTAAGAAAGAAATTGTCCTCTATAGAGAACTGATTTAAATTAGGTTCTTTATGTATGCAAGACAACTTAAGTAATACCCCAAATAAAATTAAATATACGTATACAGTATAAAGAAATTCCTACTTTTCTGAGATATCTTCCAGGATGGCCATGAGCTGCTTAGCAAGACCAAGGCGTCGATACTCCGGGGCAACAGTTAAGGCAGTAACATGACCATGCCAGTTATCACCATGCCCTTCAGCTTTACCCATTACTGTAAAGAGAAATAACCATAAATTAATGCAATCTTGATGTTATCAGATAATGGTACCCTTTATTAGCTACACATTCATTCTATGGATTAAACAAAAGTATAAAGTAATTTAATATTTACATGCATGAATTGAATATCATCACATCATTCATCAATAGGCTAATAGCATAAATTTTTTCTTCATTCTTGCTTTTATTTATACTGTACCTGCACTTAATATAATGGGATTCAAATCAGAAACACCTAATTCTTCCCACAATATTTGCACCACTATGTTACGATATTTAGCTACCGTATACAGTACTTCAATATAAAATACCTGTATCTGTTGTATGAGGCAAAATGCACCAATGTAAACAACTGTAACAAAACCTTTATTAAACCTCCTGGGTGCCAAATGGAAAGAGCCTCGGAGCTGCCCTTATTCTTAGAATAGATGTGTAAATTGGTGGAGGACGTAGAGCAGAGTTAGGGAAAATTATTATCTCCTGACAGCACTCATCATCAACCCAACCCAATACTGTACACCAATTACCAGAGACTCTGAAGAGTCCCTCCTAATAGAATCTGATCTAACCATCCAAAGAAACCTACCTAACCCTACCGAACTGCCCAGCCAGGGGGTTCCGTCCCCCAAACTCTCCGCACATTAAACAGAAAATACTGGACAGTACTGTACTGTTTTTTGTGGATGTGAGAGTATGCGCGTACCGAGTGGGTCGGTTGTTGCACGGAAACAAACAAAGAACACACAACATGTGCTGAAAGCAGATTCCGCAGAGGAATATTTACAGTAAATCATTAATTTCTTCGCATACAAAGCATGTAGACATCATTTTAGTATCATATGATCAGTTTTCACCTTGTTTTACCCAGCAATTTCCCTCATCCTTCATACTTTGCCCACTACAAGTGATTGATATTATAGATCACATCAAAAACCATTGGAAATACATAATTTCAATCTAACCTAAATTTAAAATCCTAAAATTTACTGGATGACCGAAACGATAAGAATACCATAATTAAAATAAAAAGTTGTCATATAATTTTTATTACTATTACCCAAAGAACATCCGTAGAAAAAAGAACGACATTGAACAACTCCTGGTGTTAGCCGTCTTCTCCAGTATTACCAAAGTTTTCGGCATTAGGTTAGATTAGGTTAGGTTGAAATTATGGTTTCCCGTTGTTTTTTTTTAATTGTTTTGAACGACTTCCAAATAGGTGAATGACTGAAACGATAATTTTATAAAGTTTTCTTCTATAGATTTTTCCAAAATCTTTTCCTTCTAATGAAAACTGGGTATTATTTTACTTTCAGACATAATGCGCCCGAAAGTTATAAACTACTGAAACATTTAGATCGCCCTACTCTGAGCATTTTGAACCCCATATATACCAGGCAGAAATGGATAATAGCGACACAATTTAATTTAATTGATTTTACGTACTTTTCAGTCTTCGTCTGTGAGGAGATGTTATCAGCGTGAAAGCGAGCTAATTATGAGCATGTTTACATCACGCATGCGTGACATCTTCCAGTCATGACCATTGATGTATCGACCTCATCACTCGAATTTTTTTCGACTAATCAAAATTGAATTTTTTCAAATGGAGGAGCCAAGGTACGGATTTCAATTTCAATGACTAGTGTGACAATGACCGTGGTATGGGTTGGGTGTGAATCGTGCTCCTACGATTATTTTAAGCTTATTGCTGAGTTTTACGAGAGTGACGATCAAGCTATCCAATTCCTACGTAATCATGGTGTTCTCCCTACATCTGTTGAGTGCCCGAACTGTAAATTGCCTTGTAAATTTAAAAGAACAAGCATCAGAGGTTAACCCTGAACCTATCCCTGGTCCTTCCACTTTTAACTAAGGTATTGTACTTTCGGACATGGAGCGCTCCAAAGTTTAAAACTACTGAAACATTTAGATCTCATTACTTAGAGTCTTTTGAACCCCATTTATACTAGTTGGAAATGAATAGGATAGGTTAGGTTAGTTTAAGCTTAGATTACCGGGGGTCCAGGGGCGGAGCTAGGGGTTAGGTTAGACGAGTCTTTTCGTGTTCTCCCCCAACAAAAACCTCTATTTCCCATGGTCTCCCCCATCATCGTTGAGAGTAAAAATGAAGGTCAGAATCGTTTAAAAAACACCAAATACACCGGAAAAACATATTAGTCAACCCCCCCAAGGGCTCATGTCCAGAAGTAAAAATTTCCCGAAAGCTGTTGTAAACTATTACCTTGCTTTATTCTTGAAGCAAAAACTGAATTTTCTTCTTAAGAGATTTTTTGTTAAGCAGTTAGTTAACCTTATATACAGTAGTAGCCAAAGTGCATCAATAGCTATAGCACTTTTCTTTAGCTCTGTTAATCCCTAAGCAGTACACATCCACTCACTATAGCCCATGATGACACCGCTGGGTGACTCAGCCACCTGGAAATACTCAGGCCAGTGAGCCAAGTACTGCAGGTAAAAAGACAGTCCATATGTCTCAGTTAGAGGATCCAGATTGACATTGTTGAAGTGAAACATGTCTTCGCAGCGAAACGGTCTTAAGGTAGTCATTTTTTAAACTCTAGTGACCCCAATAGTGCCTGACTGACTCGTGCTAGAGGTCTTTGTTATGAGTAATACGAGCCTAAATATATTTAGGTTATTTCTGGAGCCCATTTGACCAACACCAAAGGGATATTGCAAAAAAGTGATTTTTCTGTTATTGGAGACGAAGAACTCATATTTTTTTTTTCTTCGGGAATTAGCCTGTAGTGGATCCTCTCCATACCATACGATACAAGCCCACCCGGGCACAGGTCACTGACCCACATCAGGGCCTGGGGGCGGAAATGTAATAATAATAATATATACATATATATATATATATATATATATATATATATATATATATATATATATATATATATATATATATATGCTGATAACCACAAGGAAAAAGAAAACACGAAGTTCCTAAGCGCTTTCGTGTAATTCACATCTTCAGGGGTGAGTACAGACTACTCCCCCTTCTTTGCAAATAAACATCCATTCTGTGCATATAAGCAACCTCGTTGAAAGACCGCGAAATAAATACCCAGATTGTTGAATATTCTCCAACTTTTTGCTCAAAATATCGGATTTCAAGTGGTGGTAGGTGATTTTAGTTATTGGTGGTTGATTATAAGTATGTGTAGCTTAAAATAAGATGGATATTTCTAGTTGTCACTTGCATTTTACGTTGGCCAAGCCAATGGACCAATTCCTCCTCTCACACAATTACTCATAGAATAAGCTATCTATACCTATGTAGAAACCTCACATAAGGGCCTATTATTCCTATACTCAGTGGCGGCTCGTGCATAGGGCTGCAGTCCCCCCAGACACTCACTGCCAGGCGTATGATTCCTTTAGAGAGACAGCTGAATAATACACTACCAACAAATATATCATTTTATATGTTATTTAATTATTTTCAATACGTTGCTAAGTGAATTTTCATTAAAATCAGACCAAAATTTAAGTTACTTTCATAGTTGCTGTCAATGCTGTACGATTCATGTCTGTTATTAATTGGCGCGCCGCCGCCGCACTTGAAGCAGCTCAGTCTCGTACAACGTGTGGACGGTGTGGTTAAATCGTGCTTTCTTTAATTACCCTTTGACGATGGAAAATCGAGTGAAGTATTTGCAAAACATCAACTTTTCCCAGCTGACATTAAATGAAAAGACTGAAATCAAAGCAAGAGGAAGACCTACACCAGTTTTATCCATTCAACAGAACAGTACAAGCAGGAACAAAGAATATACACGCCAGTTTAACATGAGTGAATGACAGACTGTCTGCTTTAGCAGTGATATCCATTGAAAATAAAATGATAACAGAAATAAAGGATTTTAATGAAATAGTAATAAACAATTTTGCTACATCGAAGAAGGCACACGCCGACTTTATTTTCAATTAATACTGGTCCATCACCACCAACACTACTACCATGCCCTGGGAATTCGTGGACATCAACTACAATTCATACCTGAGGTAGGTCAAATTTGTGTATCCTACTGTTGTGTGAGGCTTGCAGTCCCTCCATTTTATTTTTCACGAGCCGCCACTGCCTCACTGAAACCATATATGAAATCACACCTGAGTAGACATTTTGTAGTGACTTATATTTTGCCAAACTGTGCGGCATGTCACACGTTACTTATTTCGTAGCGGTAGATATTTTATATTACTGCACTGTCTGTACACACACGGTTAAAACAAGTATCTGCACATTTCACGCTAAACAATCTTGACACCACAGACGACGGATATTGCAAACTGCCTTATATCGCTTGCTAGCGACATTTGCTGTTTTATCCATAGAAAGTGTTGTTATGATATACACATTCAGAAGAAATAGATTAATCTTGCGAACAATGTGTAGCGTGGTTCATGTTGGTAGGTTGTGGGGTTTTTGGGATGTTTGGTTCACACTCAGGATGGGATGGAGAAAGGAAACTCACAATGTGCTCTCTATATACATGTTGTATTGGATGTACAATGCAGCTTGGTGCTGGGAAGGCAGCATGGTTACAAGCGTGATGTAGAGAGAGCTGGTTGGTGAGGACGCTCAGAGAAGGACAGCTTGTGGGTCGCCATGCTCGCCGGCGGGAGAGAGGACCGCCAGGCAGGCGGAGGAGGAGGTGTTGCTGGCAGGTTGGTGTAGGTAGAGACAGGTCACCACGAGGTCAGGTCTTAAATAGCGGGGGGGGGGTTGGCGTGGCTTAGTAGTTGACCCCCGCTCCGTGATGTATGGCGGCGCTGGTTGACTTAGACCACGAGGCATACATTGGGGAATTGGTGGGGTCGGCTACTCAGCGACAAAGCGTTTGTAGGGGAGAAATCCACTACAAGGTTACGTTGCGGCTGCGGCATAGGTGTAGTGATCATTTAGGAAATCATAGGACCCATGTGCACAGATACTTTTTTGATCGTATGTAGTCCCTGCTGAACCAACGTGAACTTGTATGGTGATTTTACTGTATACCCATTTATCTGCTTATCTCGAATTGAATAAAGACACAACTCATTGCTGTGTGTGTATTGGGGAGTGGGAGAGGCATATGTTTCAGAACCACTCATGGCTTTGGAATGTATGCACAAGTACTGTATGTTTTGTACAAATGTTTGAGCATAAGTATACGAGACAACATGGTAATATAATCAAGCACGTTGGTGGTAACGTTGACGGGTGATGCATTTTTTATATTTACTGTAATTTACTGTACATGGGACGTCAAGTAAGTACTTCTTAACGACATCTGGTATTGAAAGTGTTCCTACTGTAGTATCACCAGGAAATTGATGAACATACTGTGTACGTATTGTAAGCATTTAAAGTTGTGTATAACGATGCAAGGTATAAATGTTTACACTGGTGAACCATGGCAGCGCACCTTCTGAGCCTGTCAGATTGGACTTCCGTAAACTCGAGATATTACCACCATGCTTATATAATTTGTCTATCGTTTTATAATGCATTGATAATAAGAAATAATACTAATCTACACGACTGAACCCTGTTGTGTTGACAAACACAACGACCATATGTAAAACTAAAATGATTGGTTTGAGTGGCAACATTTGCTGGACTTCCAGGCAAGAATAACGTGAGAGTGAGCCTCGTTGCCGTGTCAGTATCGCTCGAGACAACGTCGGGGCAGTGTGTGAATTCAAGCTCAAGGAAACGTTTACAGAGTGATGTCCTGCATCTGTGAGTACATGTATTGCTTTTCTTAACCCAAGTGCTACTCATGGCTTCAGTTTTTTAAATAAATAATAAGTAAAGGTTGTTCTGTCATATTTTCCAGAGTAACGGTAAGATTACTTTTGTCAAGGAATATTTTGCCTGGTACTGCAGTGGTCTTTTTTTTCACTTTATCAACAAGAACACGATTGCATCTTTTAAGTCCTCGGTCACGCCTCTTCTAAAAGAGTATCAAACTAAAACAAAATAAAGCAAGTGATATGAGTGTGTGTTAAAATAAACCTAATATTTATTTACTAATCTTTACTTTGTGGTAATGATTGTTGGGGGGATAAATAACACGAATTAGACGAGGCAGATATTTACTGATAGGTCTAGTTTTATCTTCGTTGCATGCCACCTGAGTGTGAAGATGAAGTATGTGGAGTTGTTTAATACTAGTAATATGGAAAACTATCTTGTAATACTAGACGTATGTTAAACTAGCTATCAAGATTCATATAAACCTGACCTAACCTAGCACTAACTTTCGTCCATGTCCAGTGTTGAATCATAACCGATTCTCACGTAAACCTAACTAATCTTACCTTAACACTACTGTATATATAGTCCGCCAAGAAAGTATCGTTACTTTTTCGTCTTTAAATATATGAAATGTTGGATGAAATGCTTTGATATGTGTACATTCTCCAGTGTTTCATCATCATATGCATGACAGCTTTTAAAAGCACTCAACATGTAAAGTACATGCATGAATTAAACTTGAATTACTGGTCATTTTGAAATTCTTACATTTCTCTTTACGAAAATATTACTAGCTAATTTGATAATGATATATATTGTACTATAACCTGTGGTCGACTGAACCAACCATTTCTAAATTAGCTGTCCAACAATGTTCACGAACCGCATTGACCGCATAGGTGACGATACTCTCTTTGGGGGACTGTACTTAACACTAGGTGGTTAATATTCTTTTTTGTTTTACCCCTAATAGGTAATTCGGATTTTTTTTAAACAATTATCACTAGTATTCTTTTTTAGTTAGGAATCGATTTTCTTCTGTGGCATTTCCTGGGCAAATAGTAGGTTAGGTCTGGTCTGGTCAGGTCGCCCCCCCCCCCACTTGGGATGAAAACGAATTTTTACTCACTAGGTATTGTACAGGAAAACCACACTTAGCTAGATACTGGAAACTTACGTTATCGTAACAATCTATAGAAATAAACCGAATCTAACCAAACTTATCTTAACGCTAGATGATTGTGAGCTCATCTTGACTTTATATTCATGTAAACCTAACTTAATATAGTACTATTATTGGTACTTGTAAACCCAACTTACTTTAGCACTAGTTAAAATTAATGTACACAGTTAATATACACAATGAATGATAACACTACATATATGTACACACTTAAACCCTAAATGTCTGTACAACCTAGTTATTTTACGCTTCATGTAAATCAATCTTAGCGCACACTAAATTATCCAGATACAAAGATTTATTGAAACCTGACTAAACTCTCGTATTATCTCTCTCTCTCTGACGCGAATCCTCTAGCTTTTCTCTCCGTTGAGCAAATTCTCTCACTGTCTCCTGTCCGAGTTCTCCCCTCAAGCGTCTTCTCCCTCTCCTCGTATTCGTCCTTCCTCTCTCACCCCTCTTACTCCTTTCTCTCCCTTCTCCCCACTCACGCGTCCTCTCCCTCTCCTCCCTGCTCCCTCGTCCTCTCACCCAGGACTGACGAGTCCAATACAGAATGGCACGATAAATTAACCAGCTGTGGCAATTTCACTTTTGTGTTCCTGTTACGTTATTTAGGGTGATGGGGGGAGGAGGGGGTGGTTAATGGAGGAGGAAGAGGAAAGGATGGTTAATGGAGGAGGAAGAGGAGGGGATGGTTAATGGAGGAGGAAGAGGAGGGGGTGGTTAATGGAGGAGGAAGAGGAAAGGATGGTTAATGGAGGAGGAAGAGGAGGGGGTGGTTAATGAAGGAGGAAGAGGAGGGGGTGGTTAATGAAGGAGGAAGATAGGGAGTGGTTAATGAAGGAGGAAGAGGAGGTGGTTAAAGAAGGAGGAAGAGGGAGGGGGTGGTTAATGAAGGAGGAAGAGGAGGGGTGGTTAATGAAGGAGGAAGAGGAGGGGGGTGGTTACACGAAGAGGAAGAGGAGGTGGTTAATGAAGTGGTTAATGAAGGAGGAAGAGGAGGGGGTGGTTAATGAAGGAGGAAGAGGAGGGGGTGGTTAATGAAGGAGGAAGAGGAGGGGGTGGTTAATGAAGGAGGAAGAGGAGGGGGTGGTTAATGGAGGCGGAAGAAGAGGTTGGGTGGTTTTGTTTTGCCCTCTATCATTAATAAGAACATAGTAAATGATTTTCCTAAGTCTGTACTGGGCACTTACTTTCTTCCATATCAGAATAAGCATGTGAGCAAAGATCCCAGCAAATGATAACCGAGCATAAAATGGCGACCTTCTCCTTGACCTTGCACATGAGCCTCGGCCTATTTGCTAAGTAAACTAAGAGCTGTTTTTAATGTAAGATAACACAAGGGAGTTAAGGGATAATCTATATATTAATATGAGTGAAAATCGCATGTTTTTAAACAATATATTTAGCTGCTATCCACAGTCAGGGTTTTTTAATCACCATTACTTAGAATGCAATAGGCTTTATTTCTGTTCAATTTATAAGAATCGATGAAACAGTCAGACCACTGAGTGGGCCATTTAAGGCTGCTGTAATCGTTTGGCTACCGGGGAGAGAATTAGACTGTCAGAAAACAAACACAGAAGGATTTGGCGCCGACATCAGGTCACAAGAATGTCTACAAGACCAGCTCCCACAGTACCAGATCTACAGTTAATCTATATGTTAACTGTTTCTTATGTTTCTGTATTGAAAGCTTTTGTCAATCAAGTGACTCACTCCCCGATTTCACCATATGTAACTTATCATCTCTGATCATTGTATATTTTCAGTCTTCGGGCTGCCATGTTATCTTAATAAACTGTTACTTATTATTATTATTATTATAAATTATGTAAATGTTTAGTTTTTCGTTGATTCTTATTTATTATTGACAAAAATAAAGACAACTGAATCTTTAGTCAGCCACTACCCAGTGGACGTGGCTGGGTGCAGTGCGTCACACCGCACAACATAGGTCGTGTACCGTGCATCAAAGAGAAAAGGTCCCTATGGCTGTATTTTATCGAGCATGATCGAAGCGCTAAGAATTCTTTATTGTATTTTTGTACACATGTTTGATATATATATATATATATATATATATATATATATATATATATATATATATATATATATATATATATATATATATATATATATATACACACACACACATACACACCATTTTTAGTCCATATAACACGCGGACTTTGAACATATAATCAACGACCTCACCAGCCAAGGGTTCGGGTCCTGGCTGGTGAGGTCGTTGGTTATATATATATATATATATATACACACATACCTGAGTTGTTGAAACTCGTTATCCGCGATTTCCTCAGTTGTAGTCGTTTGTTTTGGGTGGTAGGTCAGGGGGCACTCGATTTTTTTCTCGAACCTCGAGCTTAAGTGTGGTGCTTTTTATTCACGATTTGATTTGTAATGTATCAGTGTACAACTATAGTGTAAATCATTACTTTCTATCATTGTAATGTAACTCAGTATTGTACCTACGTATGTAGTGTAACATTGTAGTGCACCGCTGCAGTCGACTTGTGAAAGAGACTTAGGGGTACTTGTAAGCCCGGACCTACGGCCTAGAAAACAGTGAGTTAATGTTCGAAATAAGGCAAACAGAGTATTGGGTTTTATATCTAAATGTGTAAGTAATAAGAGTGCAGAGGTCTCGTTACCACTATATCTTGCGCTAGTCAGGCCGCACCTCGATTATGCGGTTCAGTTCTGGTGCCCTTATTATAGAATGGATATCAATTCACTGGAGTCGGTGCAGCGAAGAATGACGAAAATGATTCCGGAACTTAAAAACCTTCCATATCAAGATATGTTAAAGAAACTAAACTTGCATTCCCTATAAAGACGAAGAGTGCGGGGAGATATGACAGAAGTATTCAAGTGGGTGAAAGGAATCAATAAAGGCGATATAGATAAAGTTCTTAAAATATCCGAGCAGGATAGGACTCGGAGCAACGGATTTAAGTTGGATAAGTTTAGGTTTAGGAGGGAGATAGGAAGGAACTGGTTCACAAATAGGGTGGTGGACGAGTGGAACAAGCTTAGCAACTTTGTAGTGAGTGCTGGAATGCTGGAAAGTTTCAAAAGGAGGCTAGATAGATTCATGGATGATAGAGAGTGGTAGTAACTCTCGACAGGAGCTGCCGTACACAGGCCAACCGGCCTATTGCAGACTCCTTATGTACTATTGTAGGGTAACACTACTACTGTCCCCTCGACCTTCACATCACGCTTGAGGTACCTGTCAGTCTATGTTTACTGAAGGTGTTTATCGTGTACAGAACTGTCTCTTAGGTTCCGTAGTGCTCTCGTCACTTGATCCAGAGAGTGTGTAGGAGAGATCTTTGGGCATAGCTTCCTATTTTATTTCATACATATAGAAGTGTGTTATAGCAAGTGTCAGCAACTTCGAGAATAGGCTGTCTGTGTCTTGATCTTCCTGCAGACTTTTACAGGACGACACCTACTGTACTGATTAATTATCTGCCTACCTTCAAATTCCTCCCTCTCACCTCTCTTCCCACTCTTATAAATTCCTCTACTATTCCCTCCTACCTATTTTCCCCCATTCCCTTATCCTACCGACATTCTCTCGCTTAACCTCAATTCTCATTCATCTTTCCTTCAGTCGCCCTCTCTCTCTCTCCCTCCTCCACCCTCCCTCGGCTATCCATAATTTGTCTTTTCCCCTCCTAGCTTGTGGCCCTTCACTCCCCTAGCCACTCACTCTCTCCCAACCACTCACTCTCTCCCAACCGCTCACTCTCTCCCAACCACTCAC